AAGCTTTACCTATGTTCACGTCAGGCCACTAAAGGTCAGGATTGACCCCCCTCAAATTTATAACGTTACAACCACATTCAAGAATTTATTGAGCTTTTAGATTTATTGTGGCCAGTAATTAACTTTAAAATGTGACAGATGATAAAAATATGTCAGTTAAATGTATCAAATTTAGGCCCGATTTCACCAAATTCTCGCTAACGATGGTTTAGTTAAACTTCGGTTAAAACTAACCGATGATTTAAACCACAGTTAAGGAAATCTGGTTTCACCAACGAAAACGCGTCAAAACTAACGCTGGTTTTATAAACGAGAGTTTAGAGTAAAATCCAGGTGGCAGTGGCAGTGAATTGTCATAATACCGGGCTGTTACGGGAGCAAGTAAACATAACCTAGAAAATAAATCAGTGTTTATGAGGTAGTGAAAACAAAACTGGAGACAGCAAGCTTACAGGAATACAATAGATTCTGAGCAAAATAACAACAGAAAGCAAGAATAAATACCAAAACAATTAACATAAGTAAATAAAGGCAAAGCAATGTTGATCAAACATATTCGAGGAACTAATTGGTTGAGTTTTGCGGTCGAGTCAAGACTCAAAATCCAACTTTTTACAGGGATGTTCAATATTCTGTTTGTTCACTAACCAGTTTGGTACATTTGAAGTAGTGAAAAAACTGGAGTCAAAAGAATTACAAGAACGAGACACAATGTAGATAACACCAAAATAATTATTTTCTATAAAATACTAGCAGAATAATGACAATTTAGGTTTAGATTTTGGTTTACTTACGTCTAACCGAACGCAAAACAATTGTTTGAACGTTGGGTTAGGGTTACCCAAAGCCGGGAGAAGGAAAAGGGAGCCTATTTTTTCGAACAATGAAATAATAAATTTGATAATGTTTTGATAGCTCATATCTAATAATAAAATCAATTTCATCTTTGTTATTTAAATCATTAACCCTTTCTCTTATCCACCTAGTTGGTAGAACAACATAGGCTGCTCTTCATTGCCATCACTTACTTTCAAAAGCTAATTCGTACCGTATTCTCTTCTACCATTTCGCCTTTCCATATAAATTTTAAACTTAAAGCCAGCTGATATTTACTTAACGAAAGATTAAAGAAGCTAACTGGTCAAAATTGGGCAGTTAATTATCTAACGACGGTTTAGTCTAAACTAGCACTAACGGCGAGTGGTGAAATCCGATTTCGTCAGTTAAGAGCTAATTGCAGTTAGAGCAAGGCTTAACGGCGGTTTAAAAGTTTGGTGAAATCGGGCCTTAGTTTAAAACCGGTCAGTAATAGTAGATAACATTTTGAAACATAAATATTACCTTAAAATTATTAACCTTAATATTAAATGTATTAAGTACTTAAACATCAAATTATCCAAATCCAAAAATATCCTAATCTGAACCTCTCAATATCTGGTCCCATCAAAATCTAAAGCTTAACTTTCCAACCCAAATTCTATCCGAAATGAAATTGCCCTAGAGTAGACCCTCTCTTAACCAACCCTAATGGGACCGGGTCTAGGTCAGATAACTCAATAGGTCGGTTAAAACAAGCAATCCCTAAAAAAAAACATAACAAAATGAAGTGCTATTCTTTTGGAATTATATAATCATTATTTTGAAGTTGTACATGCGTTATTTATAAAATAAACTACACTTATCTAATTTTTTTCCCCGTTGTTGTGATACAAAAGTCACAAATAAACACAAAACACGGTTAAGTCAAATACTTTCAGTGAAATAAATTATATTTGTAAATAAAAAATCGTATTTTAATAACTTAAGTACTGTAATATTTATTTACAAATCTATTGTAATACAGTACAGAACTGTTTGTCAAAATTAAAGATACAAGCAACCATTTTGCTACGAGACAAGATGGTAATTTATAACCTCTCACTGGAGGCTCGAGCCTTGGAGTCATTAAGCCCCTCCCCTGGCCACCCTACAAGTAGTGTTGTTTGTTTACTCTAGCGATAAGATAATTCTAGATTATATTACAAAAATAGCAGCTGTTTTTAGGAACATCAATGTTTTGGGATAAATACAAAATAACTTATTCTCAGAGATAAGCGTGTGGTTCCCAATGCCGATCGTGGGAGCGTAAATGCCGAGATCCCTAGAACGCAGCAGTTTAACCGAACTGCTCTCAAAGCAACGTCGGTTAAAACAAACTGTAGTATTTTACGAATGTGGCCGGATAATCCTATTATCGGTTATTGCGAGTTCGGTTGAGAGGGGGTCTATATCTGTATCTGCACACCTCTAATACAGACTGATATGGATTTTCAAATGCCTTGTCAGCAGTTGAGTAACAAGTTTGATATTATTTCTTTTGAGAGAATGCGGTCTTTTGAAAATTAATAGACTACTGTAATGTATCACTTAGATTTAGCATATTTGGATTAGAAAACTATTGTAACAATATTTCATTTACCAAACCGGACAATTGACAAAATAAAGAAGATATGATGTTGATGAGATGATTATGATGCCATTTTCATACACTTAAAGTCCAGGAAATACATTAAATAACTTGAAATTCTTCACTAATAATTCAAACAAATAACACAAACATATAACAACTCATACAATAAATGTTAAATACTTTTGGTCTGATAGTCCTACCATGGAAAAACAACACTGCTGCATCCATGAGCAGGAACTGTCGGTAGGTTCAATTAATTGTCTCTGTTATATGAAACAGTGAGGGTATATTTCAATTCCTCCAGTCAAACACTGTAGTAGATTAAGTAAAATATGCTCAATGATTCGCTTAAAGGCAATGCTAAGAGTGTTATTTTTTATTGCTCTATGTACAGAAACTAAAGACGATCACAGTGATGATATTTGGTCATATATGCCAAAGATCATGGTGATATACCTGTGCTGACGTTCTCGGTAGCATTACAGTAAATTAAAGCTTCTACAATGATTGTAAATGTTGTTTGTAGCTCAAATTATATACTTTATGCCAAGACCCCTCTGCCCCAATTGTTTAGGATAATTGATGCTCTACTGTATAAACTATAAAAGGTATAAAGTTACCTGAGTAAGTTACTGCCAAAGTGATCCTGTTTTTTCCTTACGGATTACGCGTTTCGAAGACTAAATCTTCATCATCAGATCTTGTACAAGAACATATACTATCACTTCGAAAAGGTCGTCAAATGTTTACATACAAAACACGGACACATATTATATACAAATGTTGACATTACGAATAAACTAAGTAGGCCTACCGACGAAAACTTATGATGTCCGACCGCACAGTTACAGGTGAAGGTCATGACTCATGACTGAGTCATGACCTTCACCTGTAACTGTGCGGTCGGACATCATAAGTTTTTGTCGGTAGGCCTACTTATTCGTAATGTCAACATTTGTATATAATATGTGTCCGTGTTTTGTATGTAAACATTTGACGACCTTTTCGAAGTGATAGTATATGTTCTTGTACAAGATCTGATGATGAAGATTTAGTCTTCGAAACGCGTAATCCGTAAGGAAAAAACAGGATCACTTTGGCAGTAACTTACTCAGGTAACTTTATACCTTTTATAGTTTGTACTGTGATCCAGAGACAAAACAACTCTAAATACTCTACTGTATGTACAAAATAGTTTTGAACATTTCAGTTGTAGGATAATTCCTCGAAGATATGGTAAAGCAAGTCTAATTGGAATGTGTTACTGTTGCAAATGCATGAGAGGATAAGTTATAAAAAATATTAGTAATACCGGTAATAAATTGATATAATTCTTAGAATTTTCCTTGTTAACTTATTAATAAATAAACCGTCTTGTAATAGTTCTTTAAGTTGTATTAATTTTAATAGTAGTGAACAATAAAAAAATATGACTCTGCCTACCCTTTTTTTTATCCATCCATACAAACCTTATTTCACATAGAATAAAACATTAAAACAGAACCTCGGTTTATAATTACAACATAATGGTCAGTCAATAGCACAACAGACTACAAATAAGAGGCAGCAAACACTCAAATGGTTGATGATAAATGCTGTGGCGCCACCACTAATATTGTGTTAGTACAGTTCATTCTGCTACTTCAGCTCCCCCTTGCACCTTGCTTTGCTTGAGACACTCCACGCACAGCCCAGAGGCCTATTGTGGATGGACAAATGCTAAGTAGGAAGGGGCTGCCAACCTCTCAAAAACAAAATTATCAAATATTAAAAAGACAACAAATGAACCTAATATATCCAATTAAGACTAAGTAAATCAAGCAATAGGAACATAACAAAAAGATTCAGTTGCTTAATTAAGGGTTCACCTCATTTAAGGTGATTCTCAAAATTGTTTTCAATATTTTTCATTCCTTAAAAGGAATTTAAGAGTTAACTTCTCAGGATGTACTTAGCAGGTATGATGCCGCAGAACTTTTTAGGCACTTAATTCATGAGTTTTGTTATGACTCAATCTCCGTCATAGCTGCATGTCTGATTGTACTTGCCAGTTTTTATCAGTTTTATCCCCATTCATTGTGTGTGTGTGCATGTGTTTTATGAGTATATAAATACTTTGATCTGCCTTTATTAGTTGCTATATGGCATTACTTTGATGTTCCTATAACACCTGATGAGAAGTCTGAAACTATAGTAGTGTTACTGTTGCTACTAAATACAAGTTTCCTGGCAGATCAGGTAACCTAATGTAATTTTAATTGATCCAGTGTTAAAGAGACTAACTCGTAATGAAACTTTGATACAATTGGTCGAAAATAAATATGAGTTTTCCTTTTATTTTCTATTTGCAAACTTATTTCGGGGATTGAATCCGCCACGGCGGACATTTGCCATTCTCTGGCTTATTTTCCAATTGATTTGGAATTTTCCATTGTTGTTTTGGTTGACCCGAATTTCTGTCAGAACATGGTTAAAAGGAGTTTTACTGTACTATGACTACTATTATTAACATAATAGGGATAGAAATAACTAAAACATAAAGTAACAGTACCTCTTCTTCAATACATCTGCTGCGAAGATTCTGAGGCTTGGTTGCTTGTAAGACTCTCCAAATGATGTTAGTTTCTTCCAAAGACACTTCCATTATATCACCTTCGGTCATCAATTCCTGAAGCCTGACTAAAACTTCCTGGCTCAAAGCGAGGGGTGGTTCCTCCAGCGTTCGAGGCACTAAAGGTGACTTCCGTTGATGTTTCTTGGTTCGTACTTTGGACACTATGAAACAAATTCAAACAAGTTGAAAAACAGATGTATAATTCTACCTTACTAGCTCCCATTTATACTCAAGAATGTATTAGGTCTTACCAACTATATCTCCACTTCCTCTGAGTCTTTACGACTTCCTCATTGGTTCTCATTATTCTCATGTCTTTGGCTTTTTGTCTTTAGCTTCATCTACCCTTCTTATCTTTTTACAGGTCCACTCCTTTTTAAACATCTGCTTTTTGCTTTAACTCCACGTATGGTGCTCAAAACACATCCCTAATACCCTACTGTGCATTACTCACCATTCTTAATTTCCTTTTGTCAGTTTAGATATTCTAAAGATATTCTTTTGTAAAGATTTTAATATCTTTTGGTTATTTGTATTACTCTAAATAGCCTACCCGGATAACACCAACATCTCAAACTTGTAATGACAACATTGTTTGTAATAGGAGGTACAGTAACTCTAAGTTTTTAAATTTAGAATTAGGACTGTCTGATCATAGAACACTATTTACATTAAATTAAATTAATTCAGTTTTAACAGTAGAATTAAGAAATGTAGCAATATTAAAAAAAGGGTATATTTAATGAATATAATACTAAAAACTTTGCGGAAACACTTGAAGAATGCTCATGGAATGTACATACAAGTAACAATGTTCAACAAAATTATGATAATTTTTTAAGCATTTACATGTTAATTTTCCAACAGAGCTTTCCAGTAAAAGTATTAAATAAAATTCCAACAAAAACAAGTTGGATGGTTCTTAAAACCATCAATTTATTCAATATTGTTAGATGTATAAAAATATACCTATTTAAATCGGTGTGCAGACTGTCTAAGAAACGTTCCTTCAGTAACTAAACTACATTCAAACTTTGGTTGGCAAAAGTAATGCTGTCTGGGCAGTTGTAAATTTAGAACTAGGATTGGGTAGAAAGAAATAGTCTTTCCAATATTGAAAATAATAATCAATTGATCAATAATAATGGTCAAGAAATAGCTGAAATAGCTTTAATTTCACATAAAACTTCCTTACAAAACATTGTTTCAATATTGTAATTTTTACTTACCAGTTGAGTAGGCGTGTTCAGAATTTGAATTGTTGAATGCAGAGTTTTCTGGTGCACTGCTTTCCTCAACCATAGGTGAATTTGGCGATGATTCTTCTGAATGACAGTCGTCCAACTGGGGAATTATGTTAAGTTTAACATAGTGACATAAAATATCATTTTATTATATTTTAAACTTGATTGTTGTGGATATCTGATTATGATTTCCAATCATTGTATAAGGCTCATTTTTTTGCATGCCCATGATCATTTTGTATTTTCATTTGTCAATTTTATTATTGAATAGAGCTTCTGACATTCACCAATACATTGAGCTATATTCCTTTGAATTAATCTTAATTATTGAAGCTTTGATGAATGACTAGGATTTAAACATTTACCCGATATATTTTTTATCATCTTTTAACTCATATGAACAACAATGAGATTTTATAAATATCGGTAGTATCTAGGGACTTTGAATCTCAAATGTTAATTTGTCTCAATTGTTTACCATATTTACTAGAGTAAATTCAGATTAATTAGCAATATAACACGGAATTGTTATCATCATCCCCAATCATCCTCTGATTAGAGCTGGGATTGAACTTGATTTTCTGACTTAGGGCTTGGTCACTTAAGAGCGTTTAGGTTCGGCTTGGCTAAACTCGAATATCAAGCTCCTCAAACACTTTTATTGAATACTTTGGCAAAACTTTTATCAACTGAGCATTGTACATATATATTGTGATTGTGTTAACTAATAAAATGAATATATACAATAAATAACAACAGTCCAAACTGTTTTTCCCTTACAGCCCGAACAAGTCTAACTATGGTTCAACAAAAAAGCTAAAGTACACATTTTACGGAGTTATCATAAATTTAATATTTACTTTACCTGAGACAAGACCATATAATTTCTAGATTGAGTTGTAATTAAAAGACCATCATAAAAATTTGTTGAGGGTTAGACAAACCTTGGAGTTATAAAGACCACTCAAAGGAGAAATTGCCGCTACTCGCCGAAGTAGTTCAGGTTTGCATGCAGCTTTTTTCAGTTCGCTGCTGATGATTTTCTCAGTCTTTTGGCGAGCAGCTGCCTCACTTGCCTTTTGGTTCAGGATGCAGAGCCTTGCCAAAGCTCCGAGAAGCTCATCAGTTTCTAGCAGCTGTCTCGCTTTGTCCTGCAGGGAACAACCAAATTACAGTAATTATAAAATTCCCCTGCCACAGCAAACCTACAGACTAAGCAAATTCCATTTTTTCTTTACTTTTGTTTAGGGATGGACGGGATTGAATTTTTAGTTCGGGACGGGACGGGATTTTTATTTCCTTCCCGATTTTCGGGACGGGACGGGACGGGATTTTTTTCTGTGCATAAAAAGAAAGTACTGTATTGCAGTTACCAAAAAAAGACATACGAAATCAATTTTTACCATTTGTGGCACTGATCTATAAAAACAAAAAAATGGGTAACAATTTACAGGTACCTATAGTAACTTGTGACTCGCGGGTCACGGGGTGATCGTCTGTATGACTCACGGTCACGGCGAGATCGTCGTCATGACTCGCGATCACGGCGCGATCGTCGGTATGACTCGCGATCACGGCGCGATCGTCGTCATGACTCGCGGTCACGGCGCGATCGTCGGTAGGACTCCGCGGTCACGGTGCGATCGTCGGTATGACTCCGCGGTCACGGGGTTATCGTTGGTACGATCGTCGGTATGACTCCGCGGTCACGGGGTTATCGTTGGTACGATCGTTGGTATGACTCCGCGGTCACGGGGTTATCGTCGGTATGACTCCGCGATCACGGCGCGATCGTCGTCATGACTCGCGGTCACGGCATGATCGTCGGTATGACTTGCGGTCACGGTGCGATCGTCGGTATGACTTGCGGTCACGGCGCGATCGTCGGTATGACTCGCGATCACGGCTTGATCGTCAGCATGACTCCGCGGTCACGGTGCGATCGTCGTCATGACTCGCGGTCACGGCGCGATCGTCGGTATGACTCGCGGTCACGGCGCGATCGTCGGTAGGCAATAACGGCGTTATCGGCACTCGCGAAGCGGAAAAAGCGCCGACGATCGGACCAAATCCCGTCCCGAAAAATTCCCGAGTCAAATGTAATCCCGTCCCGATAATCGGGAATATTTTTTTCCCGAAAAATTCCCGAAATTTCGGGACCCGTCCATCCCTACTTTTGTTCAGGTTTATATTAATACACTAATTTCCGTCACTGAGGAAGATAGTCAAAATATTGCAGTGATTTTTTTATATTTTTTTTATTTTTATTTTTTTTAAAGAGGTTAGCGGCCTCTTTTAACCTTGCATTTGCCCGTCCACATAGACTAAGCGCCTGTGCGTGGATCGTTCACAGCAAAGCAAGGGGTGAGCCGGTACAGTACAAACAGTACAAAGGTGAACTGTACTGATAAAATTTAGTGGCAGTGACCAGGATCCGAACCCACGCTGCCTTGGGCCCGAAGTCCGCGACGCTACCGACTGAGCCACCGACTCACCAACATTGTGGAGGACTATGAAGATTAGGGAAATGATTAGCATATTACCTCGAGCTCAGCTTGATCAAAAATCTCAAGCTGGAACAGCTCTAGTTATAATAACAATTATTTTATGGTCCTTGTTTATTTGATCTTTATATACTTTTTATTTGGTTATTTCATGTGTTTAGAAGGGTTTTAAATTAAATCGGCTTGTTAGAATTTGTTACTGCTGCATTAAGTTTTGTCTATTTGAAAAAAAAACCTTATTTCCAAAAATTACTATGGTTAAGGGGCAAGGGCATTAGGGGTGATGTAGTATAACCAGTCTAAAAAGAACATTTTGCAAAGTAAAAAAAAAATTGTATAGATAATTCAGATATTGGTATCGAGAATTGATAAACTTTGGTATCGACAACACTATTTATAAGATATGAGAAATAAAGGTGCTAATTGTGGAGTGCTGTCACCGCCTAAGACCACTCATCCAACAGTGAACTGCGCTAGGAAGACCAACGCCCCAACAGTCACATGCTTGTCTGCCAGGTTGCATCACAGTTTTCACCTGTTTTAGTCAAGTAATGCTTGCTGAACAATTGTAAGTGAAGGCCTTATATACTACTCAAAATCTTTCTTGATATATTTGCTATTGGGGTTTAAATAGTTAAGTATTCTAGACATTCAGTTACCTGCCAACTCATGGCTCGCTCAGTGAGACACTGAAGAGCTTCTCCTTCAGGCAACCTCACAGGAAGAGCCTGCAAAGCCACCAGCAACTGAAGGATGGTGTCCATTCTGGGGCGACGAGACCTCATACACACAGGACACAGGAACTTGGTCTCGTTCATGAACGAAATAGGCTTTCCTTTTTCTTGACCGTTAGGAATATTTGCTTTCACAATCCCTTTTGACAGAGGGACGCATGACACTAAAATATAAAAGAGGTAGAATGTTTTTAGTTGTCCATTGATCGAAGAATTAAATTTGTTATTTAATTTGTTATCATTTTATATTATAATTACAATTGTTCAAACCATAGATAAAAATTTCTTCATATAGTTAGCCTCCGGATCACTGGTAATAATAAATAATGGTTTAAGTGTCTTATACTGTCAAGTGCTCTTTTGTAGTCCAAATATAGGCTACTGCAGTTTCGTTCCCGATGGGAACTTCATCAGGCTGTCAAGGACATCAAATTTCGTTCAAGAGGAAGTCGTTGAAGACAGTATAAGGTATTTAAACCATTATTTATAAAAGTTCCATTGGATTTTTGTAGAAATTCGAGTTATTGAGTTATTAAGAAATACTTGATGTCAAAATCTTTTGTTCACACTGAATTTAAATGGTTTTAAGTTACCCTGTCTCTAAATGTTATCCTTCATTGATAAATCAAATGTAAATAGTGTTAAGTTTACCTATTTGATCGGTATAATATAAAATTGTGACAATGTAAGGGTTTGAACAAAATGTCTGTATACATAGTTAAAGATTTAAATATACTGTGTTATTCGCCCAAACTCTAAAATCCAACATGATTTTTAATTATCACATAAATTTTGAAGATTTAGAATATGAAAAATAACCTACAATAATACTATCCTTGTGTTCTATATGAAAAACAGTACACTTTGATTATCCGAGCCCCTGTGTCATCTTTTAGGCCTAAATATATATATTTTTTATTTCCAGTCGGAAAACAATAATTACGTTTTCAGGAATGTTTCTGTTGAAAGTAAAGTAAAAATAGCAAGCAAATTGTGATTTCTTAAAATCAATACTTTAAATAATTATTATAATGTATTATTTTAACGTAAAAATGATCTGCAATAACCTAGAAAATGACCTGAAAGCACAAAAATACAGCAAATAACATTTGTAATAATATATTTACACTTATACTGTTTACTCACAAGATGGCAAATAGCCTGCATATAAAAGATGGTAGGTGGTGATCGATTTTGATTGGACACTCCAATCATCATCAGACACAATAGGAAAATATTGGTGTATCTTCACCTACTAGGTTTGATTGGGTTTTTATAAGTCTTTGGCTTCCTAATGAGGTAGTGGTACAACAACTTCTAACCTCAAATTCAAAACACCTCCGTGTTATCCGAGATTCTCGGTAACCAAGGTAGTCTCGGTCCCAACAACCTTAAAATAATTGAATGCATTAATGGTAGTATTGTTTACAACATACCATGAAACCAGTCTTTGCATAAAGCACATTCATTCATGGCTCCAGTGCAGGGTTTTCGGCAGATACAAAATTTACCATCATTTTGGTTACACCTTCTTTTGATCTCATTTTCTTCTCTTAATCTCATCATTGCAGCCAGTTCAGCTTTTTCAGCTCTCTAAAAAATGACAATAAATGTATACATTACAAAACACTTGCTCTAGAAATATTCCTTCGCATGCCATAAGCAAATAACTATACTCGGGCACCATGCTAACAATTCTAGCTCCATTAGCCAAAACTCAGGGATTAAAATTGCTGCTAGAAGACATGGCAATCAACTTCTGTTGTTTTTGGACTGTGGTGATGCGTAGTTATGCCACCATGACTGTAATGATCAATACTGAATCAGTTTTTTTTCCTTTTTATCTTTTCGTTTGACTTGCGATGATGTGCCTGTAGTGAGTGAGTTTCTTGCACATAAAAGGAATGGGTTTCCGTAATTTGAAAATACACATAAAATGATTGCAGAACAAAAATTTTATTACTATTATATTTTTTGTATTCTCTAACAGGCAAGTAAAGATGTTTTGCGTTTAGGTTTTAGGATTATGGATAACATTTTTTATAATTCGGTTTTGAGATTCAAAATTGTTAGCTTTGACTATCACTGCTGATCCATTCTGCAATTTCAGCAATTAAAAAAGGTCCATGGAGTTTTGTGAATATAGTAGACTACAATTAGTTACAGGTTACTGCTATTAATTTAAATAAACTGTATCAGCAAACTGACATAAAGCCCACTTTATCTTGTCAACAAACCTTGGGTAAGGAGTGGGAGCATCAATTACATTTTATGAGTAAAATCACAAAAAATACAATTTTGAAAGCATTGGGATTGTACCATTCTGTTTCAAGTTAATAAGACCGTACATAATATACTAAATTTCAATCAAAATCGTTTAAGCAATTTTTGTGAAAATCTTATTCATCCGTTATTTCATATGTAAAAAAAAAATTTAAATAGAAATTTTAAAAATAGAAAAAAACCTGGAGATACTATGGATTAGTACACACACACAGAATTTTATCAAAATCGGACCACAAGTGCAGTCTGCGGCTAGCACGCGTGCATACACACACATACCTCTTCGAAAACCACTTTTTGGGTTAAGGGATATTTCCATGATTTGGGACACGGATATTTCTACCCCAAGACTCAACGTGTAAATTTTAACTAAAAGGATTTTTACTCCATAAACTATGTATAAAGAGAGAAAGTAAATGGCCTTGCTATTGAAAAATAGTTAACTAGATCAGTTTGAGTAGGCCTACCTTGAAAGCATTGACAACTATAGCAGGATCAATAGTACCCTGCATCTTGATGCCAGAGACAGAATATGCATGAAGAGGGTCCTTGGACCGTCTCTTTTGTCTCAACATTGCATAGCCTCCTTCTGGACGAGGTATAAGGGCCTGTTAACAATTTACAAATTGTAACACTCTAACAATGAACATTTAAGGATGTTTACAATTAAGAACACAAGATAAAAATAACAAAATAAAATCTGCAACTGACAAATTGGTCAATGGCTAATACAGTGTTCCAACAAAAATATCTTAAATGAATTCCCTGATTTTCCCTGACCGTTTTCTGTAAATTTCCCTCACCACAGAATATTTTAGGTACTGTGAGTTGAGTTTTCTTAATATTTAGGGTACTTTGGTATTATCCGGAGGCCACATTTATACAGCACTCTGTGGTGGTTATATTAGGTTGGGTTATCATCATCAATATGTTTGTAGGACTTTCCTCGTTTTGTTATGAATTTAACGATACCATACTTTTACCTGCCAAATCCCCTCCAAGTAGGGCAAGGTCAGGTCGTTGAACGGAGCGTGCGCATCACCTGTACCACCTGTATCTGGATTGATCTGGGTCCTGAGTGATTTATTGCCATGCACAAGGTTAGTTTTGTCTACATAATGAGTGAAGTTATTTTGAACGAAACAAGGAAAGCCCTATAAACATATTTATGATAACCCAACCTAACATAACCGCCGCAGCGAGCTGTATAAGGGTGGCCTCCGTTTCAACGCAACCCTTGCCGACATGGCTGCCTTCTAGGAGGCAGAACTCAACGTTATAATTGTGATCCAAAATCGCGGCAAAATCCTGAATATCTCTTGCGGTCTTGTGGTCATCACCGTGGTCTTCCGCGGTTATCGTCATCCATGATTGCAGCAAAATCTTGAATATCTCTAGCAGTAGTGTGGTCATCATGGTTGTTTCCTGCTGTCATGGAAACGTCATAATAGTCTTCTGCATTTACGGCAAAATAATGGACATCTCCCAAGGGAGTGTACACACCACAATCGTTTCCCTTATGATCTGAGTCGGTCTGTTTCGAATTTGAGGTGTGTCCAGTCTAGTGTTTCAAATACATTTTAAATATTTGTAACGTTCATCATGTTATGTTAGTATATGTGTCACGACAAAGACATTTGTCGGATATAATTACAATACATCCGACTGTTAAAATAATTACAATGTTACAGACATAAATTGCCAAGCATTACCTCCATGAGGGTGAATGGGCTTCCCTTTCGAAGGAAGACGCGAGAAGCCTTCTCTTTCCACAAGGCAGCCCCTTTCAACATTCGATCCAGCTTAGGCAGCAAATCTGTGTGGACCATAAGCTGCTGACCCTTGCTTACCAGATCCTCCACAATCTCCATATACGGATAGTTTGTTCCTTCCTGTGTGAAACACAACATTTCATACCAGTTATATTTTTACGTAAGAACATGAAACTATTGAGAAAAGAGCTACAGGAAATTGGAGTGTTGGAAGCAATGATTGTGTGCAGGAGATATTTCGAGTAGGCGTCTGTGGTGCACTGAAAAAGTCCGTACATACAGCCTATTATAATAAGAATTTCTTTCAAAAAAGGCTTACCAGATGTTTCTTTACGATCTTCATAGTTATTTATTGATAGAGTGGTGATGCAATAAAAATGCCATTAGCAATCCCAAAGTTAGGCTCTCGTATATACAGTTCATACGAACCAAGCGAGCGTGTTTTGGAATTAAAATTTTCAAACTGTGCGAGTCAAAAAGTGGACGAGTCAAAAAGTGGATATTGTTTATCTCTTGAAATCTTTAAAGTAAAAAAAAAAAAAAAAAAAAAAACAATGCTTAAAGGTGTACTAGCTAGCGAGGAAGTAGTTATGAGACTTGCGAATAATTTTTTTGACAAAGGCTACATTATCTATTTAGATAATTGGTACTCCTCACCCATGTTGTTTTCTAAATTTTTGCTGTGTGACACCTATGCTGTTGGTACAGTAAAAATGAACATTAAGTATATGCCAAACATGAATGGAGTGGACTTGGAAAGGGGTGAAGTGGTGCAGAGAAGTAGTGAAGGGGCACTGTTTATTCGATGGGTTGACAAAGAGAATGTAAACACTCTCAGTACTGTGCACACTGAATTAGAATTCATACCAACAGGGCGATGCGTTAGGGATTCTCAAAACCAACCTGGACATGAGATATGCAAACCAAGACTAATTATGGAATATAATAGTGGGATGCAGGGTGTAGATAGGCAGGATCAGGTCTTAACTTATAATCTGGTAATGCGCCACTATGCTAAAGGCTAAAGGGTATCACAAGATATTTTTTTTTATCTTCTTGACATGGCCATGTTCAATGCTTATGTCATTCATTGCCAGCAAAACACCCCAAAAAGTACCATTTTTCTGACTTAAAATTGCTGTGGCTGAACAAATGCTGGGGACAGTATCATTAGTTCAAAAACCTATTGGACGACCTTCGATTTTAAACCCAATAAGGCTACAAGGACAGCACTTCCCAGAACCAATCCCTCCAACCAAGAAAGAGATGTAAAGTATGTAGTGATAGAGGGTTGAGAGTTCAGTGCAAGATGTGTAATGGTCGCTCTCCCCATGTACCACACAGTTCTGAACTCCTGGAAGATTCACTGAAGATGTCAAGTGTAAATATGTTTATAATAATAGGAAATTGAAGTATAAATATGTGTATCATAATATACTGTACAAGTGCAGTGTTACTAAAAACTATCAAAATAAGGTTGAGTATCTAAACATAGCTTTACCATAGAAGTTTCGGCTTTTGCTATCCAGTCTTTTGATTTTTTCAAGATTTCTTTGATTGCTGTTCTACTTGGTAGATGTGCATCTATGCCTTCAGCTTCTTCAAGTAGGTCTTCCCAAGATTTTAAGTTTTGAGTCTCCCTGTAACAGACACAAGTTAACTCTGCTAAGATCCTTATGGATTTTAAAAATATAAGTAGAAAACATAAATAGATTATACTGATATTATATTCTTTTCTCAGTTATATATTGTTAGGTAAATCAGTGTAAGCCGGGTTTTCCTAGGCACGGAAGCGAAACACGGAGAGCGAAAAAGCGATTAACATGGTGTTTTGCTCCGCTTCTAGGAAACAGCAACATTAAATTAAATTACCTAAGACAAGTTGCGCTTCAGCGCCAAGGACAACCTGGCTTAAAACAAAAGCTGCTCATACAACAAATTGAATGGTAATGACATAATTAGTAAAAAATTAAACAGTCTATGACAAAAAATTGAGTGATGATAATAATTGATAATTATAATAATTGTAAGTAGTGTTATTGAATAGTTTATTAATTTATGATTAATTAATAACTTGTTTACTACTCAAACTAAAACAACTAGTATCGATAATTTTTTAATTCTTGTTTTCAAGGATAATTATTATGGTAAAAGATAAATTTAGTCTTAGCTAGGCCTGTGTAAAATGAATAATTAACATATTATTGGTTCAACAGTTACAACTTGATGCAGCTATAATACAGCTTTGTATTTCTATGGAGAAATATGGAAATAATAGTAAACTATAGCTTAGATCTGGAAAAAATGAAAGTTAAATTGGTAATACAGGGTGATTGGTACTCAGTGTGACAAAAATTGTTTGGTGCAAGTACAAAGTAAATGAAGTGTGATGATGCATATAGGCCTAAAATGTTCCAAGTCTAAAAATTAGCTTCCCAAAAAATTATTTTATGTTTTTAAAAAATAACCATGCTTTTAAACTTAATACAGCGATTTCTCAATTACCTGTATATGTATTTGAGTAGATAATGTCATTTTCGTGTTCTACATTAAATTTTGAATAAGAATAATACAAAATGACAGAGGATCAGTTGTAAAAACTCCATTGTAAATAGATTCAAAGATAAAAATTAAGATGTTTGATAAAAATTTTAAAAAACAATGGTTTACTGCATTTTTCACACCCTGTATAAAAGAAAGTGTCGGAATATGTTAAAAACTGCGCCATTTTAAAAGCTTTCCAACCATATGCTACACTATTGAGGTTTAGATATTATTTTGTTTGTTTTAGTGGTTTGAATGCCAGAAAACAGGGAACTTTTTTACTGTTTTACTGTTCAAGCTGAAACAAAAGTACAACTTTTGCTTAATACATGCCAACTTTCTATGTTTTAAATGTTAAAGACTCAGTTTTGAATGTTGAAGACAGTTTTGTAGTCTTCAAACCACTAAAGCGTACATAAGCAGATGTATAGCTATTTTTGTGTAGTGTGAAACCCTTAATTTAAAAGATGAAAATGAAGATTTTCAGCACATCAAGTTAACTAGTATAAATGTTTGTTGCAAGTTAACAAATTCACTTACTTTGACTCGAGACATGCTTGAGCCTTTTTCTCCCATGCTTCCATTTTCTGTAAAAGTTGTTGAAGTTCATTTACGTTTTGTTCCATTTCAGGGAAGGGTGTAATTTTCTCTGTTGTTTCAATCAATTCTTTTATGGCTTCGATTGTCATTTCCTCGCTGTCTGCACGTACAATGTTCACTTCCTCTAACCACCTCATTTGATTAAGTTTCTGTAAGAAAAGAAAAATATTTTACAAAATACAGTAAAGATACAGTAAAGTGCTATGATAACTGCCTCAATTTGTTTGACAACTTCGTGGAAAAGTAGTATTTTAGTTGCTCTTTCAAAGGGATATGTTACCAGCAAAATATATAATGCAAAGTATAGAATGACAAGGCATTCTATACATTGCCTGAAGCTCTGAAGTATGAAATGGACATTACAAGCACTTTAGGCCTGGGCAGTTCTCATTCCAATGACAAATTATTTTTAATTTACCTTAAGGTTATCTCAAAAAAAGATAGGGCATTTGCAGGAATTATTATCTTATAATTATAGAATAATTATAGAATTAGGGAATAATTATATTATAGGGCAGGAATTATTAAGGAAATTGACAGGAAAGCAGGCTTACCCTAAAGTCCATAGAGACACATAATATATGCACAACACAAAAGTAGATATATAGGCCTACAATATGTTTCCATATTTTGTGTTGTATATATTATGTGTCTCTATGGACTTATTTAAAGGTAAGCCTGCTTTCCTGTCAATTTCCACAAAGTTTATTTTTGCTCTTATTATTTTTTGTACGTATTGGGAGTCAGAAATATGCTATTGATTAACTCATGCTATATATTTTCAAATGGAATGTTACTATAAAGCTACTTTAAAATAAATCATACAAAATTAGTTACTTGAAATACTCATAAACACATCAGTTTCAGATTAACATGAGTGTACACTAAAATTTACTGAACGGTTACCCACGGTTGAATAAATGGAGCAACAGAGGGACTATAGTATCATTGCAATCTGCGCAATTTAACAATCCCATTAAATTATGGTTGACTAAATTAAATCCACTATGTTTTTAGAAGGTACATATTAAGCTTTCATCTATTTCATTTTATAAAATAAAAAGATTAAAAGAATGAGATGTTATTTGTTTTAAAATGTATTGCTGTTTATTATTATTTTTTTTACAAAATGTACACATTACTTTGAATAAAATTCCTCAATGACTGATTGATGAAAAACCTTACCTCCTTCAGTTTGAAAAGTTCTGCAAATTCAATGTTAAGGAAGAAACCGTTCTTTATAGTTGTTTCTATCAACTTAGAATCCACAACATTCTGAGAAAGGATTTTAGCAGCTTCTTCCTGAAATTCTTTTGCTTTCTGTAGAAGGTCTTTGATGGTTTCCTCTTCTTTGATTTTACATGCTAACTCTTTTATTTGGTCATAAAACAGTGTAAGCTCCTCAACAGTTAACTTACAGTTAGTCTGGGCCAGTCTTGTCCTGTGGAAAGATTACCAAGTTAGTAATCCATATTTAGACTGATTGATATCTAAAAATATTTTACCACAGTAGAACACCTCGATTAACCGGAGGCGGATCAACCATGGTCAGAATCAGAAAAGCTTTATTCAAGATTTATATATAAAATATATACATGAAATATATGGATAAATACAGAATGGCGTCAAAACATGGTCAATAAATGCCTCTTAGATTATGTTACATAACCTCAAAAAATCCCAAGAAAATTTTATAAATTGTGTTTCTTCGGTCTAACATGTTGTAATGCACTGTATATAACTATTTCTGATCAATTTTATAAGCAGTAGGTTCCCCATTATTGTTTTTGAAACATCACAGATTATTTGACAAAACTAAATGGAAGAAAAACAAAGAAATGGCTATAGACAGCTTCAAGGTCAAGCTATTCGCTTGCACTGACAATAGACTGCTGCCCTTCACATCTGCCATCTGTCTACCGTGCGCTTACTATGTCACAACAGTTTGTGATTGGGTGATTAGTAACCATGGCAACTTGTTGAATGCATCCATGTATATAGTCTAATTGGATTACACTCGGCTGGAAAGTAAAAACAGTCCGCCGCCGCTTCGCCACTCACGCCACCACTTGTGGCGTACTGGAGCGGCCTATAGCATTGAAGTAGCATTGTGACGTGACCGCCGACATATCTTACTTTTTTAAGTCCGCTTTGTTTGCAGCATGTTTTTAATTAATTTTCTTCTTCATGTTTGATATTGTTAATGTATTGTTCTCTTAGTGCATTTGCTAAACCATTTAAGACCCAGAACATTACAATTAGATTTGCACGTAGTCCTGAATTTATATCTAAGTTTTGATATTATATGCATTGCTAGAGACAATTGTATACTGAATACAGAGTTACGATAAAGAACAAAAACAAGAAGATGAAAAAGTGAAAAAACTAAAAAACGTGATTTTTCTAATCATAAAAGTCAATCAGGTAACTGACACGGTCAGTTTTTTTAAACCCAGATAATTTAATAAAGTATTCTGACAAACAACTTGTAAAGTCAGCCTCTGAGTTTTGTAAAAAATATAAATTTGATGTGACTAATGCTTTGGTCAATGAAGTAATTTTCTTTAGAAATGTAGTCAAAGTCGATATCAAAAGTAATAAAATAAACAAAATCACCATGTTGGCTGATTATCTTTTGATTAGGAATAAGTTTATTGCATCAAGTGTGCCAAACGTATGTACAGCATTTATAATGTTTATTACATTACCCGTAACTGTTGCAATTAGTGAAAGGTCTTTTTCTAAACTGAAAATAATAAAGAACAGTGGCAGTCCCCGGGGGTGGGAGGGGGGGGGAGGGATATATCCCCTGGAAATATTTTATATTTTATTAGCTAACAAAAATACTATTAGCTTGAGCATATTTTAGAGCTCAAATACGTATCAAAATATGTTTTTAGGCTTTAAATTCAACATTTTTCCTGGGGGGAGGGACCTCCATACCCCCCGGTGGTCATCCCCCCCCTGAAATGAAATCCTGGGACCGCCACTGATAAAGAACTAATTTCAACCTTAGCTTGACCTGTATTGTTTGTTTACCTTGTGCGCATCCTGGTGCTATCAAGCTGTTGTGCCACGTTGGCACATTTCTCTGCCTCCTGGATAGCCAGTGTCAAACCAAGCAGCAACTCAGACTCAGGAAACTTCTTATCTTCTGCTTCTTCCTTCAATGATTTTAAGTCATCCAAATCTAAACATTTGCAGAAAATGGCAACAAGTTGTTACAGTCATCAAATAAGTCTCTTTAGCTAATATTACTTGTACTTGCTGCAAGAGCAATATAATATAAGAAATAGTTTTAAGCAAACAATACTGTTGATTTAACCCTTTACACGTCATAAGCAAGTATAAAAAACATGCACGTTATGCTACTACTATTAGAGGTAACAGTTGCAAAAACTAGTTTTTGTCATTTCTGCATTTATTGATTAAAATTGCCATCAAGGGACTACACTGTTCAATACACTTATCTTAATAATTGTAAAAAAACTAAGCATTTAAAATAAATCAATCCAAGATTAAAATATAGAGACAAATTATAATAACATGTGCTTATAAATATGACAACCCTAGAAGCTCAACATACCTCGGGTAATTGGTGTATTAGGGTTTAGCACATCTTGAACACTGGTAACCCAAGTGTCAAAAGATTCAGCTTTCAACTTTAATTTTTGAATCATGACTGGCAATTCATCCAAAGTGTAACGGTATCTAAAACAAAAGATTACCATTACAGTTGTTCCAATTAAAATGTTTTGTTATGAAATAAAAAATAACAACAAGTACTTTGTGACACAAACAAAAACCATTTAATAGATTATTATTATTAATTTTTGAAGCAAAAAAAAGCAACCTAACTTGGCTTTGAATTTGTAAAGGAGAAAGGAAGGATATATAACAACATCACCTGAAAAAGAGTCCCAAGAGGTTAAAAGAACACAGAAAGGTGACACAATCACTTTCAACTACTATTCACATGAGTCAGTTGTGAATCCTTCCTTTCTCCTTAACAAATTTAAAGATTAATAGGATTATTTGTGAGGATAGCAGGCTTACCTAAATGGGGAAAATCCAATCTGGCACAAAGAATACAAAACTTTACATTTCACTGTCATTGACAGCATTTCCAACTAAGGAAGGTTTGAGTTGGGGAGAGACAGGGAGTTATCTTGAAGCATATTGATTTCATAGATTATAAGAACACTAGGTGCGTACTTGGATCAACTTATTGTTAGTAAATAGAGGTATTTTTATTAGAAGACATTTCACATATATGGACAAGCCATGGCCAATTTCTTTTATATAAAAATGGGTTCTGTTGAATTAGCCATTCACAAAGTTTGCAACAATCTATAATCCTATTTTCCCCTTTGTTTTACTGTAATAGTTGATGTGATAAGCTATAGTTTACAATGAGTAGTTCTGTTAGTTTGGCTTGGTTAAAAAAGTTGGCGTATTTGATAAAACCCAGTAATTTACATCGTTGCACACTGGTTCAATTCAGAAACTTCAATATTAATTTAAAATTTGGCAGTAACTTTAACATGAGAATCTTATGTCTAGTTCTATTCAAAGTCAAAGATATATCAGAAATTCCTTTATAAATGAATTTGGTTGATTGCCCTTCGTATGATTTATTTCACAAAATACATACTATATATTATGCACGAAAAAAACTGCAACATGCAAAACCCAAAATAGAAAAATACACATTTTTGAAGTATCGGATAACAGAGATTGACGGTTGAGATAGTAACAATATACCATACAACCGTTATGGATAAAAGACTAACCTCATAGTTTTATTTAAGTTGTTGGGACAGGAGCACAGCTTGTCATAGTGTTTAGGACACACCAACATGTTGGCACTGCAGGAGCATGTAACAGCTGACAAGAAGCATGTAGTCTTGCAGTGTTCACATTGCCTGGCGTCGTCTGGTAGCAGCTCAAAAGCTTCTCTTTCTGCACTCACGATTCCCTGCATGAAACATTGAATGATTCTATGGGCTGGAATGTTTCGTGTCATTTTTTTCTTTACTTGAAAAGCACACCATTATCTCAAAAATACTAAATGAAAGGACATAAATACAGGGGTTGGCGTAGTATAACCAATCCATTTAGAAAACTTGATAAAACAATAAAAAATGGTAATGGTATCGGGAATCAATTTTTTAGGTATTGGTATTGAGAATCGATAAACTTTGGTATCGACACATCACTACTATGTATGTTATCGGCAAAATATAATCAGGCATTCTATACAATGATTAGGAATATTCTTTAGAATGACTAGGAATTCTATAGAATGCCTATAATGAACCAGGTAAAGTACAAAACAAAGATTATTTCACACTTTGCTAGTTATTCTATAGTTTTTCTTGTTGGCACAGCAAGTTAAGTATCAAATATGCTGTTTTATCAATCAATCAATCAATCAATCAATTTATTTATTGAACTATAATGAATACATGCATATTATACAATAGGTGCAAAAACCATACAAGGCTTGTCTGCACCAACATATTATGAAAAACATTTTTAGTTAATTAATATATAAAGTTGAGTTCAATCAGCAATCAACACAGTTCTATGAGTGTCCTAACGTGTTCCATTGAGAGTTACATGCATAATTATATTACCAAAAACCACTGATATTTAAATCCAAATCTCATGAAAATAACAATAAATAAATAACAATAAATATAGATGTAAATATATTTATTTACATATATTTATTTATATTTATTTAGTCCTAACAAACTTTAGGACTTTTTTTTAAATTTGTTATTCCTTAATACGCATTAGCCAACCTAATCCCTTCACTAATGTAACCATAAGCAAAACATTTAAATATTGTAAATAGTTTTTTTTTTTCCAAAAATCATTATATATTTTTAAGAGTTTCGTAATGAGTTTCCCGTTTACTGTAATTTGCCTAACACACATGTGGGCATTCTATAGAATGCCTAGGCACAATGTTTAGTCAAAGTATATAAAACCATATCATTATTTACTCCATTTCATACTTCAGAGCTTCAGGCAATGTATAGAATGCCTTGTCATTCTATACTTTGCATTATATATTTTGCTGGTAACATATCCTTTTGAAAGAGCAACTAAAATACTACTTTTCCACGAAGTTGTCAAACAAATTGAGGCAGTTATCATAGCACTTTAATCTAAGTTTATCAGCTATTTATAATCATGTACAACATTTTTTAAATCAAATATATTAGAGAAAGAGACCAATAGATTTAATTTAACTCTAACAGAGAATAAATAAAAAGGCTCCATATATCTTTGCATACAAAAGTTATTCACATAGGAATACTACAATCTGATTAAACAATAAAAACCCAACACAATAAACAACAATAAAGGTCTGATTAGTATTAAGGATGAGCCTTAAATTCTTTTTTACTTGGGAACATACAATTTTTCACTATGATAACAAAATCAATTTTTTTAAATGTTCTTTGTTCACTTCTCTTCTAGTTTAAAGTTAACATTGTTATAAGTATGTTAGCAGCTTTAATGATTAATTTTCCGTATCCAAACCAATGTCCAAGGTTTGGAGATATTGAGCATTGACTCATTTCCAGTTATAACACTGTAGCACTTACAGCATCCAGTAAACCTTTGCGCAGTTTTTTCTCTGTATCAACCATGACAAGCATATCTTGGTAAGTGGATGCAGCGATTCTCAGATCTAAGCTATCAGGTTGGACGGCCATTTTGCAAACTAACTCGTCATGGGAGAATACACAGAATCTGTGCAAAGTAGAGTAGTGGTTGATGCATTCTCTGCCCATCTTTATCTAAAACAATAATAATAGATTATTTATCTTTTTTATTTAATTGCACTTATTATATAACTATTATAAAGATAATTAGGTGATGTATATGGAGTGAGAGTTTCTGCTTTAAGCGGTGTTTACCGTGTTTGTATACAAACTTAAAATGCCACAGCAACAACAAACACATGTAAAAAATCTATTTTGAAAAGTAAATTGCAAATAGTTACATAAGACCACATAATACAAACTACTTAATGCCAAATGTGAATGATTATTACTGAGTTGTTTCATTGTAGTGGGTTCATAAATTCAGCTGACCAATTTGTAATGGGAAAAAACAACTGTTGCTATCTTTTATGCAGTTCCTATTGTAGGCTAATATAAATAAGTAATTTTACCCACAGATTTTTTTCTAATTTTTTTGTTAGACCATTTTGTTGTCATTAATCAGAATCAGAGACTCAGGAACATTTTTTACATACATATTTATTTATTTATTATAACTGTAAAGCATTAAGCGTCTATTCTCATTCTGTTTCAATATGTTTGGTATATCAATAAAAAATAGAGACCACTTTGTAGGACACCGAATGCAACTGTCAGAACCCAAACTATGTATCAAGCATTATTCAAATCAAGGATATTTTTATACCCAGTCAGCAGGAGCAAAATTGACAGCCTCTGCAAAATTGTATCCCTGGTTGAATCCTGCATGGTAGGCTCTGGGGAACGTTATAACAAATTCTCCAGCATGTTGGTCCGTTCGGAAAACAGGTACACCTGCAATAATTACAAAACTCATAAGTCACTGACAACTATAACTTAAAGATAAATCCCTCAAAGGGGAAAAATTAAGGCCAACGTTAAATTAACTTGGCATTATTTTATTATATAAAGAATAATTTGAATGGCGTACAATGAAAAGGTATATTTCTTCAGGACTTCAGTTCACAGTTTTTTTTTATTTGTCCTTCAACAAATCAGTAACCAAAGTAGGTAGGTAAAGGTAATGTAATACATTTGTACATTTTTATACTAATAAATACATAGATTATCTATAAAAAAAGGCATTTAAGAGTGATCACTAAGAATTTGGTTTTTCTCAGTATAGTACATATTATGTTTTCTAAAACTATACCTGATTCCATTAGGACGTTGGGATTCATGATTGTAACAAGTTGATGCAGCAAATCAGGTTGAGACTGGAAGAGTTCTGGCGCAGCTTGTCTCATGGCAGTCTCAAACACTTCAGCCTTGTACCCTGGGACCCCGTACCACGTTTTGGGCTCTCCCCTGGGAAAAATCAAACATCCATCAACACTTCATTCTAAATCATTCTTCTGAGAATCATTTGTAACAAATAAAATTAGTGATGATAGGATCAAGATATCGGACTACCGGATCCACCAGATCTGACAAAAAATCGGATCTTAGGCAGGATCCGGTTTTGGTGGAACCAATTTTTTTATTTTTTATTTTAACAGCACAAAACGTTCTTTATAAAGTGCAATTCATACATAAGAACAGGTCTTTCGTCATAGTGATGCATTTTAAAATAAATTAATAGTCAAAATAATTAAAATAAACTCCATATACAAGACTATCTGTTTCCATGTACAAGACCTTAAGGGTCCATGTACGACAATCAGTGTTTATATACAAGACTATCTGTGTCCACGTACAAGACTATCTGTGTCCATATACAAGACTAACAGTGTCAATATACAAGACTATCTGTGTCCATATACAAGACTATCTGTGTCCATATACAAGACTATCTGTGTCCATATACAAGACTATGTGTGTCAATACACAAGACTATGTGTGTCCATATACAAGACTATGTGTGTCCATATACAAGACTATCAGTGTCCATATACAAGACTATGTGTGTCAATACACAAGACTATGTGTGTCCATATACAAGACTATGTGTGTCCATATACAAGACTATCTGTGTCCATATACAAGACTATGTGTGTCAATACACAAGACTATGTGTGTCCATATACAAGACTATGTGTGTCCATATACAAGACTATCTGTGTCCATATACAAGACTATCTGTGTCCATATACAAGACTATGTGTGTCAATACACAAGACTATGTGTGTCCATATACAAGACTATGTGTGTCCATATACAAGACTATCTGTTTCCATACACAAGACTATCAGTGTCCATACAGGGTGAATAAAAAGATTATGATAAGGAAAAATCAAAGTAATGGTAATATTGGCTACTATGTTGGATAGAATAGAGATAGGGAACCCTTGTTTTCACCATTCTTTAGCCTAGCCAAAGAATTAATAGAGGTCGACATATTCTGAGACATTGCCTAGCCATATAAGCTATATTATTCTTATATCTTATTACGTTAACTTTTAAACATTACCAATTGAATTTTAAACAGTATGATTTAAATTTGATTTCATATTAAGTTTTTTTTTTAAACCCATCCTTATGACAGTATGTATGATTAGAATTTTTCAAGATCCGGATCCGGTACCGACATTTTCATGGATCTGTCCATCACTGAATGTAATTTAAAAAAATATATATTTCGTAGTTTGTGGAATTTAAAGAAAATAATAAGTTTTGACTGGTAATTTAAAACTACTATTCTTGCTTAAAGAATTTTGAGGAATATTTTCAATGGTGAGTATTAAAAAAAAAATATTGGTTAGTTTAATTACAACAATTACTCAATTCAAGGTTTTTGTATACATCAAAAAGTTTGATGGCTTTCACTTTTCATGTATAAAGTTGCCAGCACATCACAAAAGAGTGGTGGGAGTGGCAATACAAAGACTTAGGCCAACAACATGCCTTTGATTGGGCAATTGGTAACAATAATAACGTGTTGTGCGAATCCTATGCATGTCGTACCACTGATCTGGTTCTGAGTTTGTTTAAGTCTGGTCTTCTCTGTATGAGTTAGTTTAGTTTGTAAGTCTTAAACAAATAGAATGAACTTGAACACTCTTTGGCATACTTTGGGTTAAACTCTTAAGTGAGTTCAGGGTTTTAAGACTCATTACAGCAAAGTCAGTAATTTCCTAGTCTAATAATGTTCACAGCGTTTGTATAAAACTACTCTTCATAATAGTGCATGGTGTAAATGTTGCAAATAATTATTGATATCATATTTATGTCCATGAAACTGTACACGCTACTTTGGCAGAGAAATAACATAAATACCAATGAAGATAGTTAATGGAGTAGCTCCAGTGGTCCTCATTGTGCCAGCAGAATGTAGCGAAACACATGCCAACATACATCCACGGAACCTTCATACCAGAAATGTCTGCATTGATGTAACCAAGCACAGAGCCTTCCAACACAGGTAGATTATTGAGATTCCAACTGGACTCTGCATACTTCTTGGTATCAATTGGCTGAAAAATCAAATGCAATCTTAATCTTCGCCCTAATTAATTAATAAAAAGGACGGGTTTTCATTTAGTTGCCAAGGAACTGAGAATAGTTGTCTTTTCAGTCCATTTTACGATAACTACTTAGCTTAATTTACAATTGTTCTTGAGTAAACACATAAATCTGTCAACAACAAAAAAGAAAGAAATTCGTGTCAGTAAAGTAGAACCCAGGTCTGCTTCAGCTGGTTCACCTAAATGAGCTCAAGCTCATATTTGTCTGGGCTAACCAGGTCCCAATTTGTATGGGTCAAATTTTAAGGGGTTCAAAATTTTCCAAAATCATATTTTACAAAATTTGCTAAAATAACACATAACACACAAAATTTTAAATAGTATCTTAACCTCCTAATAGTTTTGAAACTCATGCTCAGCTACATTAATTTCAAACATTTTCTGGGGAAGGGGGGGGGAGAGCACTGTTCACCCTCAACCCAGCTAGGGACTGTAAAACACCTTGCTCTATTGTTAACTTGACATTTTTCACATGTCTGTTTACAAACTTATCTATGATAGTTTATGTATTGCGTGAATTCAAGATTTTTACTGAAACCAACCTTTTCATGTTCCAACCTAAGCCCAGTACCAAAAACTGACGAATAAAGGGTATTTACTGAACAGTTTGTCTATAGCCTATTACTGATGCATTTAGTTTATTGGATTAGGGGGGATTAAATGTAAAGTTTGTGTATACTATTACTTGTATGTGCCCAGCCCTAAAAGGTCTGCGCATGAGATCCCTTGGCCTATCGACTGGAGATCAAAGGGAAGAACAGGTTACCATAGTCAAAAAGATCTCATGGTTCACCAAGGACCTGGGATTTGACAGGGAATGAGGAACTGTGAATGAGGGTGCACAATAGGCTGATCCAGCTGCGATGCAATCCCATGGTCACTTGTAAGACTCTGTTAAAAAAAACACAGTAAAGCTTGGGTATACTAATACTACTGTTGTAGCTAACTTACTGGATTAGATTGGATGTACTGTAAACCTTGTGTATACTACTGTTGTAGCTAACTTAGTGGATTAGATTGGATGTACTGTAAATCTTGTGTATACTACTGTTGTAGCTAACTTAGTGGATTAGAAGGGATTTACTGTAAACCTTGTGTATACTACTGTTGTAGCTAACTTAGTGGATTAGAAGGGATTGACTGTGAAGCTTGTGTATACTACTGTTGTAGCTAACTTAGTGGATTAGAAGGGATTTACTGTAAACCTTGTGTATACTACTGTTGTAGCTTAAGTGGAGTAGATGGGATTTACTTTAGAGCTTGTGTATACTACTGTTGTAGTTAACTTAGTGGATTAGAAGGGATTGACTGTGAAGCTTGTGTATACTACTGTTGTAGCTAATTTACTGGATTAGATGGGATTTACTGTAAACCTTGTGTATACTACTGTTGTAGCTAATTTACTGGATTAGATGGGATTTACTGTAAACCTTGTGTATACTACTGTTGTAGCTAATTTACTGGATTAGATGGGATTTCCTGTAAACCTTGTGTATACTACTGTTGTAGCTAACTTAGTGGATTAGACAGGATTTACCCTAGAGCTAATTTAACTGCTGTTGTATCCAACTTGCTGGATTAGATAGGATTCACTGTAGAGATACATATGTTGTGATAGATACAGATATAGATATTAGAGATAGGGTGTACTCACACTTTTGGTATTGGTGGTTGTTTTAGTTGGGAATCCTGATCCATGATCCATCGTGTGAAGATCAGCTCCATACTCTACAGTCACATCTTCTTCAATGGATGATACTATTCTCCAGAACTCTTTTTCAACCAAGTTTGTAGGAACTCTCTAAAAAAGTAAAACATTTCATTTGCAGGTTGATCAAATGTAACTGTTAATTTTAATTCATATAAGTTATAAGTTCATGCATTCAGACTGGTAGCTGAATGGTATAGTGCTTGCTTGACAATCCAACTTTTATTGTTAAGCAATAAAAAGACAACTCACAAACCAGTCCTAGTCATCTCAACCGGTTATCATGCTCAAGACGGAATTGTAACAAGCAGGTTTAGTTGGAAGGAAGCCCTTGCTCATCCACAGTTACAATCAAAATATGGGTGGAGTGGATGTGAGTGATAAGTGTGTATGCCTTATCAATAAACGGACAAACCAGCAAATACTGGAAGAAAATATTCTTCAACTTAATCGATCTTGCCCTGTTCAATGCGTGTGTCTTATATAAGCTGAACGGTGACAAACCAAAAAGCCCCGAGTTCTATATTTATGTGTTGCAGATACTGGAAATAAACAAGATGTGCAGCCTGGACTTGGACCTGGAGGCACAGAAAACATACTACTATAACCCAGAATGCCAACCGCATGGTAAAAAGCATTAAGTGATTTGAGAGAGCTTTGCCTGTCAATCGTAGGCAGCGCCACCAGCGTTGCTATGCTGAGTGCATGGCAACGCTGGTGGTGCTGCCTACGATTGACAGGCAAAGCTCTCTCAAAACACTTAATACTTTTTACCACGCGGTTGGCATTCTGGGTTATAGTAATATGTTTTCTGTGCTGGAGGAGACAATCCCCACCGCCTTCAGCACTTACCACGCAAACAAGAATGGAAGTGTGTATCATGTGGAAGTGAAAGGTCAAGCTTTTGGTGCCCTGGTTGCAATTCTGGCAACCACAGGGAGTGCTTCCACAAACTACAACATTATTGGATGTAAAAAAAAGGGGGTAAAGAGAACTCTGGTTGCAGATGACCCCGACTCCAACTAAGCTCCTAGTGCGTAGGTGTGTTATTTTTGTAGATTAAAATGATATATAATATGTTATAAGTTACTATGATTTTTATATAGCCTATGACATGAATTTTTCTTATTTTGTAATACAATGATAAAGAAGTGTAATCATACTGTATCAACACACCTGATATGCCTATATTTCACAATCTTTATAATAAACAACTACTTACATGAACTGGCATGTTGAAGTAGTCTGATTTGAACTGATCTGCCATTTCTCCAAACTGTTGAAGAGTGTATTCCCGTTGGGCTTGTTCAAATCCAAAGGCCTCTGTAGGTTTACTGACCTCTTCAGCCACACACTTTGGACAACGCCAATCACCTGTAAATAATTTAGTTTAAAATAGTCCTAAGATTTTTGCCATTATTCTTTACCAGATCAGGTCCAAAACAAAATATAGCTATTACTTTTGATTAAATAGAAGACAACTGCGGACAAACAACAATGTTGAAAAACCATTTTAAATTGTATATTAAATTAAGAAGTTTATGGAATTAGATAATTTATATCATTGTATTCATTTGAGTTATCTAAGAGATAATAAAAAAATGGTTGTGAGCCTAGATTTTTATTTTGGAGTTTCAATTGTGTTCTCTTCACTATTAAGTGTTTGATCTCCTTAAAAGAAAATGTTACAGCCAAAAAAAAAGTATAAAGTAAAGCCAAGTGGATGCTTGGAATGTATAAAAATGGATAGTTTAACTAACTATCTTAGAATATTATATTCCAGTGGAAAATACACAATAAATGGACATAAAACATAACCATAACCCTATAGGACTCAAATTTTCTCGGGTAAGCTAGCTTAAGCCAATCCCTAAAACAAAACCATTGAAAATAGTACATGGTGGATAGTTGATAACAAGTCTTAAAGTTATGACATTTACCAACATAAAAGTATATAGGCCTAACTTGTTATAGTTTTAGGTTGTTTGGATATTAATCTATAGTGCTGGTTAGCCTACCCTTGGGTATTTCTAGGAGTGGTGGCATCAAACAAAACGTATGGTAGCTGTCGTCACAACCATCGCATAGCAGCATAAACTCTTCAGCATCTCCTCTACTACATCCGTGGCAAACATATTTGGCCAACTGGAACAAATCAACAAATATTTACTAGTGTACAGGTCTGTTGTGGAAGAGGTATTTTTTTTATACTTTTATTGTACAGTATTTAATTTCCTTGCATTGAATAGCAATTGCATAAGGCATAATACTATGCCTAATGTTTTGTCCATTCAACTCTATCGCACACACGATTTTATATATAATAATGGCAACAATGTTTGTCAACGAGTCATAATAAAAAGTAGTTAAATGATGTTAACTGAAATTCACTACCAAAATCACAAATGGATAAATAAGGGCTGTTACAAATACCAAAAGCTAACTTACCGGGTCATCGTCATCTTGATAGGTTTGTTTCTTTTGTTTTTTTCCTTTAGGTTTTTCAGGTTTCCGCATTTGATAACCAGCCATTTTTGGTCCCGCTCCAAGGAATTGAAGTCGCTTTAATTCTTTATTATCAGCACAATCTCCGGAATCCTAAAAAAGGCACAATATATATGTTGTAAAATAAAGTAAACCCTAAATAATCCCTTTCTGGTAATGTTTAGTAAAAGGGAATAGCTAAGCAGAAACACTTAATTCTCATTTTTCATGAGGTTGATAATTTTTTTTACTTTATTTTTACTCCATAACATAGACCTCAATACTTTGTGCTTATTAAGAAATTGAGAAGAGCAAAAAAGAATCATAAAAAACTTACAAGATAAGATTATTATTTTTTCAGTACCTTTTCAGATTTGGCACTAGCAGCATAGCGTTTCGCCCTACGATCATGTTGACCTTGCCCGTACGGTTTTATGGCTTGGCGAGATATGATACCATGGGGTTTATAATCAGCATCATTTTCCTGACCTTCACGTTCTTCCTCTGCTTCCATTTTCTAAACACATAAAAAAGTTAGGGTTGGCTTCAATAATGCTATTTTAGTTTAAGGCTGTTGGGGTTGTTTTTTTGTTTACTGTTGTCAGCATGGTAGAATTAATTAATTTATATTCCAAGGATATCTTAACAGAAAATATTAAAAGAATGGAAGTATTTAACCTATGGATAATAACCTTTATATTTTACTTTGGCAATACTTTAATATTTTAGCTAATATTTTAAGGCTCAAATTTAATAGTAAAATGGAGTTTACCTACGACTAGCAGTTTCAGTTCAGTTCTTAGAATTGAAAAGATTCACTTTCAAACAGCATTGTTCACTTACATAACATTGTCTTTTTTTTAACAACACACAACTGACTATGAGGTTCAAGGATTGAGAGAGAAGAAGTAAAATTGTAATGCTTCACACTTCAACTAATCAGCTGTTCAGGCCAATTTAATTGCTGAGTGGTGCAATTAGCGTTTGGTACAATGATTATATACGAAAACATAACCTCTCTTAGAAGATATGAGTAGTGATTGTTAGTAATTAAAAAACTGTCATAGGTTAAGTACTGTACACGACCCGTGTAAATAATCATAATGACACTCGTAGACATTTATTTTAAATTTCTACTAGTGTCGTTAACACTATCTTTACGTGATTGTTGCGTAAACTACTATATATACATTTCAAAATGTATTCAGCATAATATGTAATTAATTCTAATAAAACAATATCCATAAATGTTATATACACTGACCACATCATCTACATTTTTCCCTTGCTGGAATATGTCAAACGGGTATAGGATTCGTTCGTAGTGATTTTTTAGGAGGGTTCCTAAACTCTTGTTGGAGGGAAGTCCCATCCTTTGAACAATCTTTGCCCACTTTCTTTCTTTAATAACAGTAAGGAATCCACCTGTAAAAAATGTAATAAATTTTTAAAATTAATGTTTACAAGTACCGTATTTATAATGTTGAGCAAACATTCAATGGATTGATAGAACACATGAGCAGTTTATGAATATCTCTGACTCTCAATAATTTGACACCTATGATACCACTGTTACCAAGAACACCAGGTTATCAAAAATGATATAATACTAAAAAAAAATTCTGATCATCTACCGCGCCCGTGTAGACATCAACATCAACCCCCGTAGTCACGGAAACATCATTATTGTCTTCTGCAATCGTAGTGAATTTATAATAATTTTTTAGCTATATAGAAATTAATGTTGTCTTGCGGGGGAGCGAGCTGGTCCAGTGGTTAGAGCGCCGGACTTTGGTTCCAGAGGTCCCACCAAATCACCAATGGATAATAACCATTATCATTGTGATAATGCCGCAACCCCTAGACCTAGCCTGAAGCAATATGAAAAACAATTCTGGGCTCGTGCCTAGCATCCTAGAAAAAAAAAATGTCTTCCGCGATCGAGGCAAAATTCTGATCACCTCTCCTGCGGTCACGGGAACGTCATTGTAGCCAGTCCTGATCTTGCAATCTTCGCAGACATGTCGGGTATTAGTATCGAAATCGACTTTTGACGATCGATTCTCTATACTAATACCAATGTCAAAGAGTTGGTGGTATCGCGAATCGTCACATCCCTACTCATGATAATTGTTTTGGTACAACAAAACAGTTGTTTTGTGCATTTTAAGTGTTTTATTGATGAAATTCCAGTAATCCGGCAGTATCACAGTTCTAAATCTGTCAGATTACTGAGAGTCCACTATACTTCATTTGAGAATCAATCAGATCACAGCAATATGGATTAATATCAATGTAGTCTATAGCCTATAGTGGGCATAATTATAAACTACACGTTAATAATTATTGTTATAACTGATATAATAACAATAATTCAAAATTGTCATTCTGTATCATCCATATATTAATAGACAAGCATGTTTCTTTAAAACCTTTTTTCTCAGCTTGTGTGCATTGCAGGGAAAATCTACACATACTGTTAGAAAGATATTTTCCTGGGTGTGGAGAATCCCTTTAAAAATTAGAATGGGCTCAAAAATAAGCGCAAAAAATTAATTTAAAATGTAAACAAATTAACATGGACCTTACGGGTTGCTACGCTGGTGAGGGAATAACAACGAAATATAAACAGAAAATCATAACCAATGGAATAATTTCTAATCAGACGTTTTATTTACAGCGTGGAGTGAAAATAGAGAAGTCTGTACATTAGAAATTGTTGGTCGAGTTTTAGACCACTGGACGACCTCTATAATAATTTATTAGGTGGATATGAACTTTTAAGAGCCTAACAATAAAATTATTGCCTCCATTGAGGTAAAACCTAAATTTAATCACTTACAAATCCACTACATTTAAGTTATGTTTGCACCAGGAGTGAGTAATTCTAGCTCTTACAGGCATTACAAACTCATAGCTATTAATTAAAGAAGATTATACAATGTAATGTAGCTAGCTAACAACCATCAATGGCAATGTGTATTATTATTAATATTACAAGTATTATTTTACATATTTTTGTACTTTCAGGTATTGATACAAGCCAAAAGGCTCGTCGATAAACTTTAGAAAACAAATTTATAAATAACTTAAGAGAATTAATTTACCCTCATTCTGAACAAGACGATGAAGTGTGAAGAGATCTAGAGCTCGTCTTTCTACCATAGGGATTTTCAGGGAGGAACCCTGAAGTTCCCAAAACTTTGCAATCTGGTCCAAGAAGTTTAATTTTATTCTGGTTGTTGCCTGAAAATGATTTAATTTATGAATGTGTCCATACAGTAAGCTAGTAGTAGCGAGTTCCTCAAAATTAATAGTGCAATAACTTGGACTTCAAAACATTTTCTAAGTATTTCTAACAACTTTATGCCTACTAGTAATACAGTACTAATAGTTATTTATCACCTCAATTTTGTTATATCTATGTTAACGGTTCTTTCCATTTAACTCTTTCCAGCACGGAAAATACAGGTGTCAGGTGACCCCAACCAGCACGGATTTTTTTTGTTGAAATGTTTGTAAATACTTTATAATTTGTGTTTAGAACCATATAAGGTTTTATAAAAGTGCATTAATATTTTTTTTTATCAGTTAGTGATAAAAGGGAGTTACACATATGTGATTTTGAATCCCCAAAATATTAAAAATCAAGATAGAGGGTTCTTTGGGTATTTTATAAATACAAATGCAAATACAATATAAGAAAGTATATATTTTACACATATACAATATAAAACATTACATTATCATATGGAGACCTGAATAAACGTAGGAAAAAAAATATTCACACACTGATAAATGTAAAAAAAAAAATGTTTAATGTAAAAGTTACTTAGCCAAACAAAGTAATATAAAGGCCAATTTATATTTAAGTAATATCTATATAATTAATACGCTACATGAAACTTTGTCGGTTGAACTCCTCCGCCATTTCTTAACAGATTTTAACCGTTGACGTAGATTTGCGCGTCGCGTAGATTTGCAAACTGACCTTACATTTTTGAAAGCGTCTCTTGGGCTATGCCCCAGTGGCTTTGTGTTTTAATACCGTACAGTATATAGATTAATGAGAATTCATTAGTTTTGATTCAAAGTATATTATTTAATTCAGATACAGTTATAAAGCAAGCACCTTCAAAATATTTACAATTCAAAGTCAATAAACCAACAGATGTTAATTATAACATCTGCTTAATATTACAACATCTCTCCTTTTTAGTTGCCCTCGTATCTTTTCACAGGTTTCACGATTCTTCCAAACCTTGTTCTAACTTCTTCATTAGATTGGAGACTTGGTTGTGAATAAGAAGGATTGTTATTGTTTACAAACAGCCTTGTATTGAAAGTTGGTGTACTGGTATTTCTAGAGACTTGTCTTGGTGCTTTCTGATTACTCTGATTAGTGTTGTTGGTTTGAGAGGTAGGGGTTTTGAGTAAGCTCCGTTCATTGTTTAAGTCTATAGGAGTTTTCGGAGACTGATCGTTATTTTTAGAGAAAGGAAGTGGAGTAATACTTGCTGATTGTTCAGGACTGGTTTGGCTTTTGTACGGAATCAAGTGGTATCTGTTTCGGCGTACTGTGTTTCTTTCAGTATTTACCCAATAAGATCTTGGCTCATTGGCTAGGTTTGTTATTGTACCCTGACGTTTTAGATCTTTGATCCACACTTTTTGTCCTCGTTGCAACTGGGGTAAATCCCTGGTACCGTGATGCTTATCATATTGATTTTTGTAGGATTCTCTGTATTTTTCCTCCCTCTTCTTGAAACTGGATAAGTCAGGTCTTTCAGAAAGCTTCTGTGGCAATACAGGTAAATTATCTTGTAACCTCCTGTTGAACAAAAGTTGGGCTGGGCTAAGCCCGTTGGCTGTAAGGGGTGTGTTCCTGTAGGATAGGAGTGCAAGGTAAGGGTCTTCTTTGTTCTTTCGTAAGACACTTTTAGCTATTTTTACAGCAGCTTCTGCAGAGCCGTTACTTTGATGATGTCCGGGACTGCTTGTTGTTAGTTTGAAGTTGTACTTTTGTGCAAAAACTTTAAACTCAGAATTTTCTAAGCATGTCCGCTGGGAAGCAAACTGAGTTCCACAGTCTGATCTAAGTTCGACAGGTATTCCGTGGCGACAAAAAATTGATTTGCATTTCTCTATTATCTCACTTGTAGTTAATGTTTTTAATGTTGCTATTTCAAAGTATCGACTGTAACAGTCTGTCATTACTAGAAACCAAGTCCCATCAATTTTGAATAAATCGATGCATGCTTTCTCCCATGGACGAGAAGGAATTTCAGATGTCATTAGTGGTTCATGATGCTGGGATCTAAATTCTGTGCATTTAGGACACTCATTAACCGTTTGTTCTATGTCCGAAGATATACCTGGCCACCACATGCTGTGACTTGCTCTAAGTCGGCATTTACTGATTCCAAAATGTCCGGAATGAATTCTATTTAGCATATCAAGTCTTAGGTCACTAGGAATAATGAGTCTATCTCCTTTCAGCAAAACACCTTCACAGAAGGAAATTTCGTGGCGGACTGGGTAGTAAGGTTTTAATGCATTAGGCAATTTGGATTTGTCCGGCCATTCAGAGGAGCAAAACTGCTGAATTCTTCGGAGAATCGGGCATGATTTTTGTGCATCACATATTTTCTGGATTATAGCATCGGTTGTACCCAAATTTGTAATTACTGAACTAACAGCAAATTCAACTTCTTTTTCTAAGTCGTATGATTCTTTAGAAGGCAGAGGGCTTCTTGAAAGACAGTCGGCTGTCGCAAGATGTTTTCCTGGAGTGTATGTAACTCTATAGGAGTATCTCATAAGTCTTAGACGTAGTCTCTGAATACGGGGTGTTAGGTCATTCAAATCTTTGTTTGTTAGAATACTAACGAGAGGTTTGTGGTCTGTTTCAATGATTATGTCTTTGCCAATTATGTATTGTTTTAGTTTATCACAGCTCCAGGTTACAGCAAGGGCTTCTCTTTCTATATTGGAGTAGTTTTTTTCGCTCTCAGTAAGTGTTCTTGAGATGTATGAAATAGGTTTCCATTTGTTGTCTACTTGTTGCTGAAAGAGTACCCCACCAAGACCTGTTTGAGATGAGTCAGCAGACACCATGGTAGGGCGGCTAGAATCATAGAACGCCAGTTGGGGAGCGGAAGCAAGAAGTGACTTTATCTCTTCAAAGGCTATATTTTGTGTTTTGCCCCAAACAAATTCATTTCTTGTATTTAAAAGGTCTGTTATTGGTTTAAGTATTTGGCTTTTATTTGGAATATATTTTCCTACAAAATTTACCATTCCAATAAATCTTTGCACACCTGCTATGTTAGTAGGAGGAGGCAATTTTGTTATGGCTTCCACCTTTGATTCATCAATTTTGATACCATCCCTTGATAATTGGTGGCCTAAAAATGTGAGAGACTTTTGTGAAAACTGGCACTTGCCTTAAATAACTTTTACCTTTTGCCTTTTATAACTTTTTGCTAGAGAATGAAGAGCAGTTACAAAGTCTTCTATAGACTCTGTTGATCCTTGTTTACGCTTTAAAAATTTAGCTCTTTCAAAAATTATATTCTTTTTTGGAATGAAATACTGTTCAAACCTATTCAAAACAACATTGTAATTGTTGATATCTGATTCATTTAGTTTAAATGAATCGAGTATTTGTTCTCCCTTTTCTCCCATGCAGTAAATAAGCATATCTACCTGTGTTATGCCGCTGGCTTCTTTAAGGCCGCTCAATGAATGGTATCTTCCAAAACGTTTTCTCCATCTTGGCCATTCACTGGGTTTGAATGTAAAAGGTTCTGGTGGTTTCACATTTAGGGAAATTGCAGCTTCATGAGGCACATTAAGGGAAACATTAGGTTCATTCGACGACTGCGCCATGTTTTAATACCGTACAGTATATAGATTAATGAGAATTCATTAGTTTTGATTCAAAGTATATTATTTAATTCAGATACAGTTATAAAGCAAGCACCTTCAAAATATTTACAATTCAAAGTCAATAAACCAACAGATGTTAATTATAACATCTGCTTAATATTACAACACTTTGAAAGTTCCCATGTTATCCTTATAGAGAACATAATTGTTTACATTTTGATCAGCTGTATAATTTAATTGCTGTTATTTATTTTTCAATTCAATGAAACGCATTGAGTAGGCTACATTTATTTACTATTTGAGTTTGTGTAAACATAACCCCAAGACGGATCGTGTTAGTATGGTTGTATCTTAAATTTGTGTATTTATCGCTGTTTTGTGTCGCTATGATGGATCGTGGTAGCATGATTGTAACTTAAAATTGTGCGTTTATCTTTGTTTTGTGTAGCTATAATTTGTTTATTTGTTGTTTATTCTTTTAAATGCATCCGACGCGACGAAAACGAAACATAGACAGGAGGCGTAATCATGATAACGACCTCAGGTACAGAACAGTGGCGCGTAATAAGTTTAACTCATCCACAGTCAGCACCTGACCCTGGACAAAGGTTACAAATGCGCCCTAACACTACCTCAAAACGACTTTTCGTTCTCAATTGGCCCTCTATCATTGACCTGTGTTGCATTAATAGCGAGGCATTTTGAGAAGGAGAAAACCGGCCGGAATGCTTTAGGTTTATCAATAACGAAGATAAACATAGTCTGAGTTACACACCGGTAATCTTTGAGTTGGCTCTTTTAAACTCATTGTAAATATGACCGTTATTCGTTTTGAAATAACTCCTGTAATACTTTGCAATTGCTCGAATTCGAGCAACATGTACACTAGTAAACATAAATTTAAAGGCGGGTTTCAATAAAAAAATTCCAATATGCCCAAATATTATCCTAAATTGTAATGACATATGAAATAACTATCTATCGAGCCAAAAATATGACAAAACCTATTTATAATGTCATATTATTTATAAAAATGCATAAACGCAATTAAAATTATGTTTCTGGAAGATTTTATAGTTAATTTATTATTTATGGATAAATATATTTAGAACGCTGAGCTGCATGGTGTTACATTTGATTAACGCACTTTAAAAACCCAAAATACGTTCTAGTTTACTGATTTTATGACTCTAAACTATTACAAGGGACGCTATTATAACAGTACATTACAAAACAACAAAGGAATTATATAATCAATTTCAACATATCTTTCATTTGCATAAAAATAAAGACGGGATCTTGGCCACGAGTCTTTCACCAGGAACAGCTGTTTTCTAGGAGTTATTTGTCAGAATGTAAACAAATGGACGTTGCTGCCACCTAGCAAAGGTCCATAGTACTAACATTTAAAGTTTCCAGATGCATAGCGCTAGTAGTCTCGTTTACAAAAAATAAAATGTCTCGCGTTACAAAGATGTAACACCGTGCAGCAAAGAAGTCAAAAAGTCCGTTACATAAATGTAACACTGTGCTTGAAAGAGTTAACAGATGAACCCTTTATGCACAATAGTAACATAAAAAGTAAAGCTTGATAATGTGAAATGCGAAAAAAACATAGCTAACTTAAAAATTTTCCTCAAATTGTATTGTGTAGCCCCTAAATAAAACACAGAGACTCTTTTAAAAACTAACTTTTATCACAGCCAATATTAATACGGGAATGCAAGATTAAAGGTAAAATATCGAGGGGAAATCCTGGATCAACATTCGATTGAACACAACCCTATCTCTCAGATACCCCCTCCCACCCATATCTCACCAACAGATCATAGAACAAATACACTGACCTACTTTAAGAGTCCTTGGAGGCTAGCGGCCATCTTGGATCATTTCAAACAGCTGCTGAAGAGTTATTTATCGTCCAAAAATATTTTTTGCAAACACCAAAGTGATTTTAATTTAAATATCTAATATACTGTGGGATTAGAAATGTTCTTTGTGATTTTGAATTCTTCTCCAAGGGAGTCCATGGAAGCTAACAGCCATCTTGGATTTGCCCGCCATAAGAGCAATGTTAATTATTTTGTTAATTTCAAACAGTCGCTGAAGAGGTATTTACGATCTCAAAATATTTTTCAAACACCAAAGTGATTGTAATTTAAATATCCAGTATACTGTGGGATATATTGTATTTGTAGTTTTTGTTTTTTATTGTTTTACGAATTAGAACGTCTAGACTCCAAATGGGTCTTTAGCAACAGTCTTATGTTGGTCAGCATAACAAGTAATTGTTTGGCAAAACTTCCAGCCAACACAAACAAAATATTTGCCTACTAAACACTTTCTTTTCATAATGTAACCCACTAAACCATTATAGTTGAATAAAGAGAACAAAATCTATTTAGGTCTATTCAAAAAAGCAATATCAGATTATTATTTGACCATTCATCCTCCTAGGCTGTACCAAGTAATTATATAGAACTGCTTTAAATTTGTTTCAAAATTTGCATTTGTTTGTAATATTGATAAGACTGATTAGGCATAGGTACCTTAAATGACAAGTTAATTTAATAGTATAATTTTTAGAGAAGATTCCCTCCAACTAATATAAAATTAGTTGGTAAATCCCAAAGACTTATTTCCCATTAAAACTTTACCATAGGCAAGTGATAAGGTTTAATTTTATAATAGATCAAACTTACCTCGAGCTCATTTAACCTCTGCACTCGAGGCACAAACTTGAAACGATCAACATCAACAGCAAACGGAGGTTGCCAATCCTGAAATCAAATTGAAGAATTTACCTTAGCCTATATGAAAAACTAAAAAGATTAGTTGTATAAGCAAAGTAGAAACGATACAATTCAAGACCATGGAAAAAAATGAATCTTGCTGGTATAAGGGGGCTTATATATGCTACTGTTTTTGTTTCAATTGGTTTGGTTGGGATAGGTGTACTAATGTAGGCCTATTATAGTTGTATAGCCTACAAATCCGTGAGTCATGGCCCCCACAAGGGTGGGGCTGGCGCAACTCTGGTCACAGGGCCCGGGCCCCCAGGGGGCCCGGGCCTACTAATTTTTTCCTTTTTTTCTTTTTTCCCCATTGAAGATCACTTTACAGCAGATCATAAATTGAAGATAAAAAATAGTATATATATATATTTTACAAAAAAACTAAATTAAATAATTTAAAATGTATTAATTCTTGATTCTAAGGAAGTTCATATTTAAATACTATATGTGCGTAGGTGCGTATGTACTATCACAGCCACCTCTAATACAGTACTATACAACAGCAGAACAGCCAGCTCGGGCCCCAGTGGCCGGCTCCACAAACTCCCTCTACCCCTTCCTCCCGCCAGGCGCTTAGCCACTCCTACCTCATTCCCCCAATAATAAACAAAGTTAGGTTTTATAATTGAACTGATAGTTTCAAGAATGAATTCTTATAGTTATAAGTTAAAATAAAATTTGTAAAGCATTGAAAAATTGACATGTACTATGTACCATAGCTAAGGTGACCAGACGTCCCGTTTTAGGGGGACTGGTCCATCCCGACAAATCCTCTCGGGACGCTTATTTGTCCCGTTTTATCAACATTTGGTCCCGGTTGCACTTTTATGTATGGAATATTTCAATTTAATTGCAATCTAGGTTATTTGACACAAACTTAAAAATTCTTTACTTTTGGAGTTTTAAAAATATGAAAGATTGTAGGCCTAATAATTTTGACCTAAGTTTTCTTCCCAATTCACTCGGTATAATACTGTACTAAAGCATGGATTGGATAGCATCGGCATCGACAGCATCGGTCATTCTCGGCATTACTCGTGCACATTCGTTTTTCTCCGTGACTACTCGGCGCGAGTACTACTCGCGCAAGTTCGGCAGCTCAGGCATCCACTCCCAAAAAATGTAGTATTGTTAAAATTCTTGATGAAAATTGTCACTGAATAAAATATGATTTCATTGGTGTAAGCTGTTAAACTCAATTTACGTTAAGTTTTTTTCCTACTCCATATTACAAAGTACAATTATAGCAGTTAAGATAGCCAAACCCTTTTACAGGGAAATAAAAAGGACAAAATATTAATAGGCATGGAGCTTTTGTGTATTGATATAATAGTTTTAATTGCTGAATTCCTGTAATTTTAAGTCTTATAAAACTCATTGAAAAACTCTTTCTTCCTTAAAAAAGGCTGCAAAAGTGCCATTTACCACTCACAAATTTAATACCTAGATTGCATTAAAAACTCACTAAAATACATGACATTTTCAAAATTTTCCCGGAGGAGAACCCCCGGACCCCCCCTCTACGCCGGGGGGTATTCCATACCCCCCCGACCCCCCGGTTGGTTGGGGGGCCCGAGCCAGATCCTGGTAACAGGGCCCACAATTAAATGTGGGGGCCATGCCGTGAGTGAGTGCAAACCAAATATGCAGGGTTTGATATTTAAGTGTTAAGTAAGTAGAACTCTATCCAAAAAATATGATCAAAATATCAACTTGTAAGCTCAGTTGGTAATATCAGGGGGGGAAATGTAAGTTACACCAAACACAAAAAAAATAAAGAATTGTGCATCCAACATCTAGCACACATCATGTAGGCCTAAGTTTAAATACCGTATCTAAAGATAAGTGGTAAAGTCGGAATAGATTCACTACCTACTTAATAAAAATAGTTTTATACAAAAGTACTCTTGACAAATTGTGGGCTGAGTCTATGAACAAGATTTGTGAGTGTAGTTGTTTTCCTATGCATGGAGTGTTGCAGTAACAAACACATATGAATATGAGAAGTGAAATATTTGTTTAGTACCTGCGACTCTAAGTCTTTTTTTTTTACCACGGATCCGTTTTGCTTAAATTTGTACATGTAAATAATAGTTGATTTATTAGGTCTAATGGATTCTCACATAGAAACCTAATTTTAAACCATTCGTGGCATAAAACCAATGATTTACTATTGACAGATTCTTCAAACTCTTTGAGCTTGAGGAAAAACCATGCCGAGTCTTATTACAATAAATTCCCAATAATAGCCTACTAAACGTCATAGATAACTATAGAACAATGTATATCAACTGATTGGCAATGAAGTAAAGAAACAGGTATCATATCATATAGGCTAAGTTTGTTTTGTCATTAAACAGTGTCTCACAGTAGTCGGAATTTGGGTTGCGTTAAAAAAAAAAAATCCTGTATAGGCCTATATATGAATATGAACGAAAATTGTGTTTTTAGCCTTTGGGGACATCAAAATTACATAATAAATCTGTAATGGGGCTTACCATGAGACCTACGGTAGCTATTTATTTTATTTATTTAATAGCTTATTTCCTTTATGGGAATTTCACCTACCTACAATTTTCATTTAAAAGAGATTTTTATTGGATTTAACTATCATACAGTAGCCTACGCATTAACCGATAATCGGATTATCCGCCCTCGCTTGTAAAATATTACAGTTTGTTAACCAACCTTGTTTTGAGAGCAGTTTAGTTTAACTGCCACTTTCTAGGAATCTTGGCATTTCCTCTCCCACGCTGGGCGATAGGAACAATGCTGTTTTAGAGGAGGCTATGGCTAAACTCTACATGTTACAGGCTGTAAATAAACATCCTGTCTCGTAACGAAATGGTTGCTTGTATCTTTAGTTCTGTATTACGATGGATTTAGAAAGCCTCAATTACCGTAATAGCCTATTACATAGTGTATTAAAATAAGAATTTGTATTGTCTCTAGTCTACGACTACCTATAATTGATTACACTGAATTTATTTGACTGTACAGTGTTTTTGATTTATTTGTGATTTTTCTAGTGTCAGTATTAAAAAAAAAGATAAAAGTGTAGTCGATGTTTTAAATACACACGTGACTTCTGAATGGTGATTAGGGCCTATATAATTTCAAATGAATAGCACTTCATTATTTTTATATTTTAGGATTGCCGTTTTTACCGGCATAGGTCTGGTCCCGCTGGGGTCGGTTAAGAGGGGGTCTAATGTAGAAATAAATCAGAATTTTTTAGAACTATTTTGCATTTATTTATAATATAGGCCTATTCAGATTCCCTTGGTCTTCTGAATAAAATGAATATACATATTGATAGGTTTACTCCGTGTTTGTATTTTCTACATATTTTTTTAAAAAAAGGTACCTGGGCAAAATCACCAAAATGGGTTGGCCGTTTCCCACTTTTAACATTGGCCACTGCTAGGGTTAAAGAAAAAATCGAGTCAGGTAGATGGAAATTGTCATAGTCTGTAAGTTCCCTGCTGCGAGGGTTTATATTTAGCTGTTACAGAGAAGTGATGAACAGAGGATACACTTCATGGTACACTTTAAGTGGTGTCTAGCACTACTATTCGTTTAAGTTAGAACCTTACACGGCACGGTGTAGAAAGACCCATGAATTGGTTTAAGTACTTAAATTTGCTGCAAGGGGAGTAAAAGTGTTTTTTTATGTTAATAGTTTAGTATGAAATAAATACATTTTCCAAATTTGATCAAAATATGTTCATAAACAATCAAACTATAACAAATTACTTATTCTCCATAAGAATAACATGGGCCGAATTATAAATTTACAATTTTTTGGAATTTTCTCCATAACCATTAGGCGCATAATATTGCTTCAATATACTAAATTATTGGTTTTATAAGCTCTACAAAAATGTTTGGAAATAAATTGCTAAATTTTATCTTTTTTGGGTCAAAAATGGGAAAACCCAATTTTTACCCCATAAAACCCCCGTTCCCATGGTCCGATTATGCTGGTTAGCGAGCTCCTTCAAATAAACATAGGTTTACATGTTTATACCAAATTTCATCAAAATTGGATCATTTTTACTCAAGTTATTGTGCTAACAAACACACGTATATATATATATATATATATATATATGAATTTGAACGGATGGTGCTTTGGCCTCTAGGGACCTCAAACAAAAAAGTAAATCGGTCTCGGGTCCAGGTCTAACCATTCTGAGTACTATGGTAATAGGTTATTCCCTATATGGGAAATTCGCTAACAAACTTGATGATAGGCCTAATCAAAATGAGATGTTTAATAGGAAACGTCATTTAACAATACAAAATTATAGGCCTATCTAACTGATGGACGTGTTAGAACTGTTTCAATTTACAATTCAGAATCTGTATTGTCAGCCACCATTTTCTCAGTATTGCAATAGACAATGTCTTCAAAACGTTCAACAATATACTCGGTGAATTACTCTACTCCAACACCGTATAGTACAATATATTAGGTGGCCTACATTTTTTACAGGGCTTAAGAATTTAAACAACTTTAAGTGCATAAATAATACTTTGGCAAAAGTATCTTGTTTCAAAATTAGGCAGTCTGAAATAGGGCAGACTAGGAGGGTTTGCTCGCCAGTCCCAGGCTGCGTTCTAAAAAAATCACCGAGCAAAATACCCTACCCATAATACGTTGATACCACCAGCACAAAAGGTTTTTGTGACCAAGTAATCTTATAATTCTTTATTTAAGGATTGCATTTTATGACTAATAATGGTAGAAAAGCATCTTGTCAGACAACCCTCAATATGTACGGTAGTATCGAATTTTACTTGCTACATATGTTTTTGCGGTTCTTTAACTGCACCATCAAACGGTTTACAAAAGGATCCACTTCTGGAGGTGTTCACATGAAATAATGAGCCTGAGTTTAATTGCTTTTAAAAACGTCCCTTTTTAACATAAGTTATATTACGTTTTGTCATAATTATGTATTGGTTTGACCGTTGATATGAATAAATAAATAAATTGGAATTTTGGCAGTTGACATAATATCTCTGATTTTGGGCCAGGGAAAACTTTTCTCAGAGGCTGACCGGCTGTAAGTTAACTACAAAAAAATTTGGTAAGGACTAAGGATTCAAATTTCAGGCAGAATAATTTTACTATGAGAAGTTGTAGGCCCTAGTACCCTCTTCCTCCCTGGAAAGAATTGCCGTGTTAGATTGTATTAAAACATATATGCTACATTCCGCATTGGAGGAGTCAGTGAATTTAGACTATTTGTTAATCATACAAAACTTTTACTTATTGAGAGTTTGAGCTTTAACTTATTTAGCGCCTATTTATTTTATTGAGGGAAAATTTAATTTTACACGTGTATACAAAGATGGCAAAACGATAAATTTCAGACATAACCTTCCACCAGAGGCATTACGGAAGTTACCTCCGGGTCACTACATTTTTCGTTATAAAAACCATAGTTTGTGTTCGGCAGGGCTGTTGCCTCAAGTACCTCTTTCGCGCAATCGGTTTCAGCTACTAATACCCCTTTCCCAGTTGTCAGTCGACCTTGGGGAGTGGTTAGCGTGTGTCACTACTGGTAGTAGCTTCTGTGTGCACCCTGTGATGCAACACGGGTTTCCCGGAGCCTAGTTCCATGTGTACCCTTGTGTTTGACCTTATTTAGCGATATTATAAAATGGATGAAGCAGAACGAATAGCGAGATTGTTGGCTAGTGTTGAAAGAGAGGACAGGGAACAACATTTAGTGGAAAGGCCTACTGGCGCGTTTGTTTGGGAACTTTTTTTAAGAAAAAGGGCTTTGACGAAATGGAGTCTAGTCCTTCTAACAAATGATTTTTTCATCAGACAATAAGTTAGGAATTTTATTTCATACACTATTGCAATTTTTTCTAAAAGCTTTGACACAATAAGTTGCCCTTATAGAATGATTTTTTTCATAAGACCATAGGTGTTTTTATGTCAAACACTGATGCAATTTTCGTTTAAGAGCTTTGATCAAATTAGTTGTCTTTGTAACAAATGATAATTTTCATTAGACCATGTACGTGTTTTTATGTCATACACTATTGAAAATGTTTTCTAATTTTATACGATAGTAGGCCTACTGTTCGTACAACACCCCTGCCGCAGCAAACCTGCAAATTAATCGAATTTCCATTTACCAGGCTGGATTTCTACTAAAATATTCCCCAAAAATTGTCAGATTCATTTCCTATTTAAATCAAACTAATTTTAGTAAGTACTTAGGTTTGCTGCTACACAGGGAAGGTGTGTTTTTATATTAAAATGTTGATAGCTTAGCATGAAATAACAAAAATTGCTAAATCTGATTAAAATATATCCCTAAACAAGCAAACTAGAACAGTTTATTTATTCTCCATAAGAATAACATGGGGAACTTTAAATTTAAACCTACAATGTTTTTAACTATATCCGTAACCGTTGGGCATACAACAACGCTTCAATATATAAAATCTTTCCTTTTTAAGCTCTACAAAATGGTTTAAAGAGAAATTATTAATTTTTGTGTTTTTAGGGTCAAAAATGGGAAAAATAAATTTTTACCCTATAAACCCCCGTTACCAGTCTGATTTCGCAAACTCGTTCGAATAAATGAAGGTTTACCCGTTTGCAAAAAATTTCATCAATGCACAAAATCGGATTATTCATTTTTGCTTCAGTTACCAGTATTGCGCTAACGGACGCACACATATATATATATACAGGGTGATTGATATAAGTGTGCCAGCCGTTTTATTTGAAAACTATAAGAGATATCAAAAAAAGTTAAATGGTAAGTGCCTTGGATTTTTTATTTAAAAAATTGTTGTCAAGTCAAAAAAATTATTTTAGCCCCCATTTTTCCAATATGGCCGCCAACATTGATTTTTCTTATGGAACACCCTGCATTTTATGATGTATTCTGGTAGAAAAAGTAATTTTAAGACGATTTTATTCTTGTCATTTTTTTCATAAACCTAACCGTTTCAAAGATAATAATGGTTAAAGTTTTGAAATTTCTGCATGAGAAAGAGTTTTGATAAAGGTCTAAGCTAGCATGCCAGCTGTTTTGTTCGAAAACCATTCAAAATTTCACAACTTAAACCATTATTATCTTTGAAACGGTTAGGGTTATGAAAAAAATGACAAGAATAAAATCGTCTTAAAATTTCTTTTTCTACCAGAATACATCATAAAATACAGGGTGTTCCATAAGAAAAATCAAAGTTGGCGGCCATATTGGAAAAATGGTGGCTAAAATAATTTTTTGGACTTGACTATAATTTTTTAAATAAAAAATCCAAGGCACTTACCATTTAACTTTTTTTGATATCTCTTATAGTTTTCGAATAAAACGGCTGGCACACTTATATCAATCACCCTGTATATAGGCCTATATATGAATTTGAACGGATGGTGTTTTTAGCCTCTGGGGACCTTAAAACAAAAAAGAAAATCGGTCCCGGGTCTAGGTCTTACCATGAGACTTACGGTAATAGCTTATTCCCTATAAGTTATGGGAAATTAGTTAAAAAGTAAGTCTTTTTTATCCGCAACACTTAGGCCTACGTATTTGAATTGTTTGATATTAACATTTTAAATAGAACTTAAGTAATCATGTAAAAACTCATAAAAAATGTGTTCTTACAGTTTAATTGCCAATAAAATGTTTTTTACTTATCATTGTAGGCTATAGTTTTCGTACACCCGGAGGTAACTTCCGTGAGCGCCCTTTGGTGTTTGAAAATCAATGTGCCCGACCGAAAGTTAATACTTGTCATATATGAAGTTAAGAACAGACAAGAAATTACTTATATATCAAAATATATATAAATATCATGCAACAATCAACAACAAAATTATAACAATATACCGTAACAATTGAAAGTTAGCTGGAATTCGTTGCACAGGAGGATATTTGTTTTATAGGCTACTACAGGAGGGGTACCATTGCGCCACTTGAATTTTTTTTTTTGGGGGGGGGGGATATTTTACTGCTAGCTGTCATAATGAATGTATAATTTTGTAAAAGCAGCTCGAAAAAGGGTTTCGAAGTAGTTCACTATCAACCCCAACAACATTTTGCTATTCGTAAAATAGGATTAGGCTACTACTAAAAATGGTAAAAACGCACATTGTTAGACATTCCTTAACATGTACAATGATGTCGAATTATTTTACTTTCTACATATGTTTTGGCGGTTTTTTAACTTCACCATCGTCAGGCTTACAAAAGGATCTACTTCTGCAAGTGTCGTCAGAATACGTTACAAACATTTAACACAAAACTATTACCGTACGGATAGGCCTATTGATTTACGCATGTACATATTGCCGTGGGCGAGACTGGAAGTAAACCGAATCAGGTTATGAGTGACGGACCGATGTGGTCTCTGGATTGTCGTCTACATTTTCAACAGCTGATATTGAAAGCATTGTAGTGACTGAGAAGAGTGTTGAAAATATAATGTGATTCATAATTAATTAAGAGTTTTTTTAATTCAAAATGTGTGTGCTGTCCCTAGTTATTATGTCTTCATATGTTTAAAACCCTTCTAAAGTAGGCCTATTTAATAAATTTCCTTTCCCGCAGTGATGTAGAATGTCGAGACCATCATTTACATCCAGCATATCATGGTTATTATTGTCAATAATATTGAATGAAAACTCTTAATTAAGTTAGGTATGTAATTATGAATCCCATTATATTTTTCCACACTCTTCACAGTCACTACAATACTCCATATGAATACAATAGGCTACTACAATACTCATATGAACTAACTGCCCCCTTGTTAGAAAATTGAAATGATTTCAATTAGTATAAGTTAGTTTTAAAACTACAATTCAAATAGGAATCGGCCTAAAGGCTTGTATCCATAAGCAAAAGTGCTCATAAAAAAAGTCCCTCCACACACAGAAATTACCAATTTTAAGATTTGTAAGTTACAACACAAGTATCTTACTGTATTCGGCAAACAGGACTTTGGTACAGTACCAGGCCTTTGGTACAGACTGAACTAGGCCTTACATTGAATCTTGGTAGACTTAGCCTAACTTTTTACTGATTGTTAAACTAAAAAACCTTCTAACGAGTTAGCCATAATCGTAACCACAATTTCAATAAAATTCTGTGTCCACAAACTTTTGTTGTTGGAAAATAGGCCTAGGCCTAAGTTAACTTACTAAAAACCACATGGCCAAGATCATAAAATAAAGTTTATTTCTAACAATAAAATGTAAGCCTACATCCTTAAGGATTTGCAAAACTGAGGCATAAAAGTAGGCATAGGCTACCCTATTTATCAATATGGATTAAGCCTAGCCAGGTAACTTAGTGTTTGCAACCATAGCCTTGAATAGGCTAGAGTTAACTTAACTTAGCCTACATTAGAATTTTTGTTTCTGAGCGTAGCTTAAATTTGTTTTGAATATTACAAAGGTAGGCCTAGTCTACATTTAGTAGGTAAAGGTTTAGCCAATTGACCAAGGATTAAGAACACCGGAAATATTTCTAAGACATGTAGGGCCTATAACCTTAATTAGACCCTAACATAGGCAAACCTCATGGTAACTTGTTAATAGCTCATTCAATGTAGCCTATCCTACTAAAGCTTTGGTACTTACAGGGGGTGGTTTGATTTTGCAGATTCCATATTTTTCAGCCAGAGGCCTGATTTTATTGATGTATGACAAAGGATCTTGAAATTCCTCATTAGTAGGTTCATATGTGGGAGCATCAGGAGGAGGGCAAAACACGATTTGGCCTTCCTCAGCGCAAGAGGGTGTATCATAACCATCAAAATTTAGCGAGCCGTGATTTGAGTGCATGCTTGAATCATTTGCCATCACAGCTTAAAACTTGCAACAATATAGTGTTCTTATGTTAATGACTAGGCCTAGTAACAAACAAATAAAAGAGCACTGCAAACTAATCTGTCAGAATAGGACGTTGCGTCATTAACAGGCAGCGTATTTAAAATTCTCAATCTGCAAACTTAATAACCATTAAAAGGACATAATATAGCGTATTTAAATAGATAGTAAATTGGTGTTTTACGAAAACCATGGGAATTAGTGGGAAACATCTTCCTACATTAGCTATAAGGCTAGGACGGTCCGACTAGTCAACCAACACCACAACCACAACACAAAGTCACAATCACACGTACACCACCACCGTCCACCACCACCAATAGTCTACAGAAGACACGAAGAACACAGAAGAACGAAGAACAGAAACACTGAAACTGAAACAGAGACAGAAGTAGTCGAACTCGAAGTTGCTAGTTGCTATGCTCGGTTGGTCGGATGTTATTGCTTCTATTGTGATATTGCTACTTCCTCCTAGACCAGAGCGAAATCACAGGATTTTCAGAAAAAAACAGAAAACGTGCCGTATACATTGAGCTTGCCATGTAGCCTATATCTGAAAATAGCAACTGGATAAGAAAAGCCCATGCCGTTGTCAGCATTCTTGTGGTGAGGGTTGGTTCTTTAAATTTGCTGCTTGTTTATTTGAATTTAACATTTATTTTAAAATGTTCCCAATCCTCCCTAAATATAAAAACCTATAACTTATTAATTTGGTTATTGAGAAACGTTCTATCATACAGTCATGTAAAAATCAGATCTTAATAGTTTCGGTAACGAATTGTATTTCATGAGTTGAAATTAAGTTTATATTAATTACAAAATATAGATAATTAATAGTTTTAATTAAGTTTATGATAATTACAAAATTAAAGGGAGGGTATGGGGGTTTAGGGATCGGTAGCACCTTTTGAGCCGTTCCGGCCAAACCTTGCATGCAGGGTTGGTTCGGCAGATTTGTCCACAACACAAACACACCTAAACTCCAACTCTCACTTGTTAGCTGCGGAGAGCTACCCTCTGCCACTGGGTGTTGGCCCACCTACAGAACCTAGTAAGGGGGATCACCCAGCCATGGGGTCCTGAGGAGTTGCAACCTGGTTGGATCTATACGTCCCATGAAGTAGGTTTAAGCCCGACAGCCGAAGCACTCCTAAACGGCATGGTCAGAGGCCAAAAGAAGGCAGCCCCTTCACTGATCTAGGATGCGATGGACCCATTACCCATTCATCTGAAGTTTACAAAATGAAAAGAACAAAGCAAGGAGCTGGACTGGTAATTACGGAAAAGACATGGCGAGGAAAAAGGATGAGTATCGGAACATGGAGCATTAGGTCAATTACAGGAAAGGAAAAGGAGCTGGTAGATGAGTTTGAGAAAAGCAAGCTGGACATTCTAGCAATAACTGAAACAAAAAAGAAGAATAAAGGAGTAGAAAATGTGGAAAACAATCATGTGTTTGTGTTCAGTGGACTGGAATCAGGCACAAGAGCCCAAGCAGGGGCCCATTTCATAATAAAGTACAAACTAATATTATTAGTAAATCAGCTGATCGCCCAATGCAAATCTAATGGAAATTACAAGTTACAAGTTGTAACTTGTAGTTTATTATGAAATGGGCCCCAGGAGTCGCATTACTAATCCATAAAAATTTGGAAGACAACATCTTTAGCTGGAAATTCGTCTCCCAAAGAATCTTTACGGTAACTTTCAAGTTTACTAAAAGCGATTTGACTACCTTTATTGTAGTCTATGGGTTAAATGAAGACACCAGGACAGAAGAAAAGGACACTTTTTGGGAGGAAATTCTGAAGGTTATAGATGACGTTGAAGGAGAGCCAGTACTACTTTTGGAGATTTTAATGCTAGAGTTGGAAACGACTCTAATGCTTGTGCCGGAGTTTTAGGAAATCACGGAAAAGAAATAATGAACGACAACGGTGAGAGGCTAGTATACTTGTGTGTGGCGAACAATTTAAGAGTGGTTAACACAATGTTCCTAAATAAAAGAAATCCATAAATTCACAAGAGAAGAACCAAGCAGGAAGGATAAATCAATTATATATCTACTTGGCAGACCTAAATCAGCTGAACGGAACCTCTTCAAGGGTGAAGATTATCGGTGCCCCATCGGTGGTCGGACCACTGTTTTTCAGTATAATTGTCAACGATCTGGACCTAATTAAATGGACATACCTTATTGTTTGCTGACGATTCCACCTTGTTCAATATGGGAAAGATCATTTATCGATTGAGGGCATAAGGAGACAACCTGCTGGAAATGGCTAAGGATTATATACCTATAGCAAACCGCTTCAAAATCAACGAGGCAAAAATATAATCCCTAATCTGCACTCTGAGATCGAGGATAGAACAGGACGAGGCTGTAAAGCTATTAGGTTTCTGGATAGATCCTAGATTATGCTGGAACATCCACACAGACAAGGTTTTTGTCAAGTTGTCAAGGGTCCTCTACCTTCTCAGGAAGATTAGAGAGTTTATTACCAAAAACTATTTGATTACTGCATCAATCATTCCTTTTTCCATAGCCATATACTGTATGTAATTATACTTTTTTTTAGAGGTTGGTGGCCTCTTGCATTTGCCCGTCCACATAGACTACAGATCTGTGCGTGTGGAACGTATTCAGCAAAGCAAGGGGTGAGCCGGTACAGTACGAAGGTGAACTGTACTGATAAAATGGTTGTGGCAGTGACCAGGATCCGAACCCACGACATCGCTGCCTAAGTCCGTGACACTACCAACTGAGCCACCGACTCACCGAGCTGAGTTACTTTGGTGCTAGTACTGTTAAAAGAGAACCTGGGCCCTATTTTTGAAATGGTTGACAGTTGAGTCAATCGTCAGCACTCAACTCAACCAACAACAGGATTTGGTATTTTTGAAACACAACAGTTGGGAAGCGAGTTGGGAATCACTAGTTGTCAGTTGAGTGACTCGTTTTGGAAATGTAGGGCATACGACCGCACGAAATTCAGATGACGTCATTTTGAACCAATCACAATGCAGAGATCTTGCGATCTTCGATAACCTCTTCTTACTCTAAAACTTGGCAGCTAATCTCAATTTACCATATTTCGAGACACTGAGGTAAACTGTCAACTCCGTTCTTGAGAGATTGAGGTTATGTCTTGCTTAATCTTGGTGATTGCAAAAGTACCTTAACTTATATAAACTTAAGTATTAAAAATAAAATTTACTATGGATGTTTGTTTTAGGGTGTAGCTAATTATAAGTTTAGGCATATCCTAAATACATTATTTTGCTTTCTTCGTCTCTATTTCGGAACTCACCACCTTATTTTAGTTTTCTTCATCGGTTTGTTTTATGTTATTTTTAATTGTGTTTTTATTTAGGTTAAAGCGGCTATTTGCCATTGCACTGAAAGCATATCGTAACTTAAATTAATTTGATCCCTTTATTAGGTGAATGGTATTGAAACAAACTATTGTTTCTCTCTACCACAATCTTTAATACCTTAAATCATAGGTCTAATTCTAATAACAATAATTATCTTATAATAAGTTCAATTAGTATGCCTAGTCCATTTCAAACATACCAACAAGGATAAAACCCTTGATTAAATAGTCTAGTATTGACACAGTAAATAAAATTAAAATGCAATTATTCTACAGAAAACAATCGCATAAAGTATTGGGTGCTAATACATTGACAACAAATACATAACCTCTAAATCGCAATTAATAAATTAAAGCAATAACAAAACAAAACAATATGGTGTCAACTCAAAAAGAGCAATTTTTTACCGAAAGAGGAAGAAGAAAGTGCCGTCAACCGTCCACTCAACAGCTCAGTAGGTGGTGAGTAGTTTTGGTTGGATAAGTCGACCGTCAATCGTTTCAAAATACGAAATGATTGGAAATAGAATGACTCGACACTCAACTCAACAGTCAACCATTTCAAAAATAGGGCCCCTGACCCGCTTTAATAGCAGAAGTAGCCATCACAACCACGCAGCACGTAGAGCTCATGACTCGGACATGCCTCGCTGCCGTCTAAGTATAACGCAAAAGAGCTACCCGCACTCTGCTATTGCCCGAAAGAGTCAGAAACCTAGACCTGAAAGCTTTCAAATCGACACTGAGCATTTCTCTCTTGTAAAGGCCACTCTATTAGTGAGTGAAAATTTAAAAACGTACGTTTTCAGGAAACACACTTTGCAAATTTTTTTCCCCTTTTTTCAAAACTTTTATTATTTTTTTGATTTCATTAACATTTGAAGTTTCATAAAATGTCCATGGTAACGCAATATCTTTGGTAGTTTTTTTTTTAAAGAGCATCTTTAGTGGAAAAACACAAAATCCTGTCACGACCATAACAGACGTTTAAATGAATATTAAAAATAGTTAATATTATTTTTATAACTATGTTTTGCTATAAACTAATTTACTTTTATGACCATTATACATTAAAAAGGTCACTGAGCTTTTAGTATATTTGGTCTTTCTAGAAAAAAATAAAAAACTCAAAAAAATTGAAAAAAAGCCAATAATATCTTTTTAAGTTTGTATAACTCCGAAAAAACTTACCTGAGACCCGAAAAATCGTTATGTTTGCATAGAGGCGTGCTTCTTTTGTGTATAAAACATTGAAATATGACGATATTTTAATTTTTGAAATTTTTATGACAGAAATCATAAACGTGATGGTCAGGGACAAGCGGTACGGTCGTGAATTTTATAAAACAATCTAAATCTTTCTAAACAATCCTTTAATTTATACTATTAGTTATAATAAAAATATGTGTTTCAATTGAACTAAACTGTTCAAATTACAATTATATTAAAGTTATTGTCACGACCAAACACACTATAATCCATAAGGCTGGATAGGTCGTGAAAAAACCCGCGATGGTCGTGAAACTTTGGTCGTGAAATTACGTGTTATTTGGCTCTGTTCTGGTGGTAGCTCTGCACCTCATGTTCGAGGATACAAAGTGGACTTCTAGGTTAATCTAGCAATTGAAATATCTTATAAACAAAAATTAACACCATGTCTACTTCATCGAATGACTATGTACGGTCATGGACACACCAAAATTACAAAAAACACAACCTTTCCTGTATTAATCTTGTAATTCCTCCTTTCAACTCGAAACGACCGGCACTACAATCCTGACGTACACCCCGACCTAGTCTCTAAAACCAACTGACTCCATCAACGCGAGGCTTGCCACTGTCGTGCTCCAAAGTTGAAAAATTTTCCCAAATGGTCGTGACGCCAAATCGAGGGACAGACTTATTATGTCATG